CCCCCCCCAACCCCCCCAACACCACATATTTACCTATTCACCCCAATACACAAATTCTCCTGGAATATATATATACCCATCCTTGATCTCTACGACTCCTCCCTCCTCCCTCCCCGCCTCTTAACCCCTCACCCCACGAAACGTGGCTAATGTTTTATGCGAATCCTGGTAAGAGAAACGTTTCGCGTCTTCCTCGATGATCATCGAGAACAAAGAAAGAAAGAAAAAGAAAACACAAGAAATCATTCCTATCGCTGCCATGATTCCATGTTTCTTAAATTTTTTGATCATGTGTTCCCCCCCCGCCCCCAGTCCTTGTCCATATACCCTTCCGATGCATCTCCTAAAAATCCATCATCCATTCTTTTCCAGCAGACTCGTCACTCTCTTCCTCTCTAAATAGACGATCTTTGTTCGCTGTGAGTCTCTGTTTCTCGTATTTTTGTCGTTATCCATCCGGGTGATGAAATATCCTGTGCCGGATTGTGTCCAATCCAAGATGAGCCTCTTGCCGTGCCGTGATGAACTCTGTGGAAAGATGCTCATGGGATATTTGGTTTATATATATATACATATTATGGAGAGATTTTTCTTTTTAAATTATTCATGACCGTGCGAATGTCGATCGATCTATTTTTTGCTTAAGCATTATCTTTTTTCTTTTTGCGGCTTGCGCTCTCGTCTCATGGATTTGGATCTTTTTATTGATTCGTTGATAAAGGACTGCTGACGCGTCAAAGTCATTTTATACTGCGGGACGGAGCTATGTTTTGTGTAAATTTGTTTGTTTACTCGCAATTTTTAGCCGTGACTGTCAATTATGTCTTGAAATTTGTAGAAAGAAAAGAGTGGTGATTGTTTTTTTTTTGGTCGTTATGAGGGTTCTCAAGAGAGCCTGTGTGCAGTTTCATGGATTCTTCATGAAATTATGATAATTGCGAATTTTATTCCCTGCATATTAATGTAGTGGTATTTGAATTTCCGATTTTCTTATTTCGCGCTGTTCAGACGGTTACCACTCTTTTTTTCTTTTTTTTTCGTTAAGTACTTTACGGTTGCTTGAGGTGTACTTGACGCAAGTACTAGAAGCTTTTGTTTTTATTCATCAGACTCTTGAGGCATTATCAAAAATAAAAATCTACAGTGAAGAGCTTTATTATTACAGTGAAGAAAAAAAAAGATATGTTCACAAAAATTTGATAGTTAACGATTCTACAAAATTTTGCCGAATCGAAATGATCTTTGCGGTTCGATCGATCGTTTTTATTAAAGATACACGAATTTACGAGCGACCCGGTCGTGCGGGGTAACCTAGTTTAATTTTTCAAAAATAAAATGGAAAAACGTTCCAACAGAATTGCATGCGTCTCGCTCACATTATGATTAGCAAAAGTAGGGCTGTGCATGTCGAAACAATAAATGATACGAGAATCACATTCGAGACAGTCGTAAAATAATTATCAGATAAGGTCGCAAGTGCATCCAAAAAATTGTCCATTGCATTTTCGACTTTTCATACATGCACAATCAGAATCTCGTGAGACATAGCGATCCTTAAATCTTATAAATTTATATCCACTTCGAATATCGTCGATGACCGATCGTCGTTCGGCAGATCGATATTTAAAAAAAAAAAAGCGGCACGGCATCATCTCCATTACGTATTAAAAAGATTGTAACACCGACACAGGCTATAAACGCGAAACTCACTCATCCTTTGAATTCGTGCATAATTATTGACATAATTGTAGGTAAACTATATATAAATATAGTATCAGTAGCGTAAACAATAATTATGAATAATTAAATAAATGTCATCTATCCTACCGACACTGACTTTGACTGCTTCCCTTTTAATTAACGATCACACTTTATTCGCTACCTCTCGTCAATCTCGAACTGAATTCGCATCGAGTAGCAGCCGCCATGTTGGAAGGAAATTCGCTCCGTGAGAATCGCAGAGACATCAGCCGCAGCCTGACGACGGTAGGTATAGTATAAATTATATTTATTCATTAGTCGATAACTGAAAAGTATCGAGCAATATTATATACAATAATAAAATGGCAAGGCGTGTAAGAAAAGAATTCTTAAATACCGCAAGATAAGGCTATACAAAAACGGATAGACAATTGTAACCTTGTTAAGCGCCTATGTCGGCAGTCACACGACAATTGGCAATCGCTAGGAAACAGCTAGAAGGTTCTATTAGGTCGTGCGGGAGAGAAAGAGAGGTTAAGGTTGCACCGTCATGTGGGAGTCGCGGATGAGGACTGGGAGGAAGGAAGGATAAGGCACAGAGAGGGTATGAGGTCAGAAGAAAGAGAGACGAAGCGTGCTTATCGTGCATCGTCTTCAACCATCTCAAATGCTCCTCAGCAAGTCTCGGCTGCTACGGCTACGTTTCTGGCCTACCTACCTTTCCACCTAGGCACCACCTACATACCTACCAGACAGCCAGTACCTAGCTACATACGTAGCAAACCCCAGCTGACGTTCGCGGAAAACTGCCTCTGTATATAAGTGCTATCTGACAGCGGTTTCAGGAATCTAATTTACGGAAAGATGCAAAAAGTAAGAAGATCCGGTTTGACTTGAAGAGAGACTACTTCGTGAGACAGAGATTTAAAGGACGATTGTAAAATTATAGAGACTTACTTTATTGTTGGTATAGAGTGATGAGGGTTATGTGGCTATTGGGACTAACCTTAAAGGACCCTTGCGTGTCTTTTGTTTCTGGAAAGCAAAAAATAGCTTTAGGTATTACATTGGTTGGATGATGATCCGTATCATCTTTTTGATAGTTACCTATAAATGGGGTATTCGTTAAAAGATATTAAATCGATGACAAAGTTGTCAGCCTCTTGGAAATGACGTCAGCAAGGGTACGACGCATAGACTGCGGTCGTTACTGGGGCAGAATGCGGAGTGAGATGGATCTGTGAAGGAGCATGAAGCTACCCGACAGTACTCTTCTCAGTATAGACTCGATGACCTGATTGCGACGGAAACAGTACTCAATGTCTCGTTACCGGTATATTACGTCTCCAAGGTTTCATCAGATTCTGGGAATCAAGTGGCGCCAAGCCTGCCACTCGGTAAGGGACCGATGTGGCGATACCTAATTAATACGCAGGATCGACACTAGGCGACGCCACTTTAGCCGTATCAGCCATTCGTGGTACAGCAAGTCACACGCTTCGTGTTAGATTCGTTTGAAAATTCTCTACGACTATTGGTAATCCTGTAAACAGAAGAGAAAAAATACGTCTGTGGAAAATAAAAGGATTTCTACTCACGGACTGAAATCGGGATCCTCGTGAACTCCTTTTCTTAGCTCGTAGCGACTTCTAACGATCGTAATTGCGGACATTGTAACGCGACGCGCATATAGCTGAGAGATACTTATCTTCCTCAACCCCTTCGTATTGCCTAGGTACTGGCTTCGTACAGTAGGCACCCTAACACACTCTGCTCTACACCCTGGCTTGGTCCCACGGGCTTGAGCCTCCTCCTTCAAGAGTGGCCACTCCAGGGAACGACGCTTTCTATTCGCGGCACAATTTCGACGATCGATATATCGACTGGCATGTCGGCCGCTCACTCGCTTGTCGCTTCGGCCGCTCTTGCGGTCTCCAAATAGCGACAGTTACCAGGGTGTGAGAGCGGAGGCGCTCGTGGTATTCACGACTTCCACTTAAAGTGTTGCTGTTTAGGCACTGGCATTTTAACCAGATTTTAACTAGTCCATGAAGGCATCTAGACGTCGTTATAGGTTATCGGTAACCCTTTAACTCCAGGGTGTTCCGGTGGCCTTTACGGTGGTACGATTATGCGCCATCTTTTTAGTAGCTGTCAAAAATCATCAAAAAAAAAAAAAAAAAAAAATGGTGAACGCTGACGACGTGACTTTTTTGTTGTTGTTATTCAATATTGTTTAAGGTCACGTGAAACTTGACCTGCTGATGATTTGAGATTTTTGGGTAAGTGTCTTCGCTTACTTTTGAACAGGAAGACGGTCCTTGCGCAACCAGGCAGTTGGCATCAGGTTGAAGTGGTAACACTTGGGGGAGAAGTCGTCAGATACCGCATTGGGGTACAAGGGGGAGTTGAATTGGGAACCGTGATGGAGTCCAGAGGGATTACCACCACTTCTTTCTTTAAGCTCGTCGCAGCATCCTACAATACTTTGATCCACCCTTCCATCGAATCGTCCCCCTGACAACGTCACGATGTTACCCCTCTGCTTCAGGGGTGGGTGGTACCTCTAGGGTCCACCTACTATGCTCCTCTGGCTTCTCTAACTCATCTACCTTCTCCTCTACCTCCTGATAGACTCCTCTTGCTCCTCCACCGGGGCAACGATTTTGCAACTTCTGCAAAATCTCTGCAAGAAGTCAGTCGGTCGGTACGCGTCCTCACGAGAAGCTTCGACGAATTTTGGCGAACGGGTTGCGACGCGGATTGTTTCTTCAGGAAGCTGATCTTTTAGGCCGTGTTGGATATCACCTGTTTTACGTATTTTTTTCTGCATTCTTCATTTTTTGACTGGCCAAAAACTAAGAAGATGCGCTAAAGTGCAGATATGGACGAGGCACGCGCTGGTGGCGGGATGTATTCCGCTTTTGTTTCTTCTCTTTTTCTCATATTCTTTTTAACCACGAGCGCCGAAGCACAGTAAGATATTATTATGGAAAATTCATACAATTTTTTAAATCAACTTATTTGTCAATTTCAATTGTCTGGACTTAATTGGATCACTGAGTAGTCTTACTTGGATTACTGCTAAATACCTCTGTAAACAGCAGAAGCGACCATTTCGATTTTGATTGTCAGACTTGAATTTCAAATTGTGCTAAACAACTATTAATTGTGATCTATAAATACAAGCAATGTCAAAATCCTATGCTGAACAATTAGCAGAAAATATTTGTATTAGTTTTTTCTAGGAGTTTTTCTATCGAATTTTTTTAACAAAATTGTCCAACCGTCTACAATTAAATGGCTACCGGACAATAGCTAGTCCAATCGCACAGCAAACGAATTCCCATGGTAATTTCAGGAGAAGTTTGGAATTCTTCGATCTTCTACCAGAAGATCCAAAACTCTACGACAAGATGAGACCACCTAAGAAAGATGGCCAAGCTACAGTCGTGTATTTTCATGTGACAGTGATGGGTCTCGATTCCATCGACGAGAATTCAATGGTAGAGAAATATCTTCATACAACAAAAATCCACAAATGGATATCAAAGAATCAAAAGATTTCATGGACACATAACTGGAATTCGATTGCCTGCATTTCAGACCTACGCGGCGGACATTTTCTTCGCGCAAACATGGAAGGATAACAGACTACGACTTCCGGAGAACATGACGTCTGAGTACAGGTACGGAACAGATCAATGCCATTCAACAGTATTGACTTATCATGTTATCCAGTTCCATTAACTAATAACAAGATTTACACAGTTTCAATTAAATATATTTTTTTTTAAATTTAAACAATACTTATTAAGATTGCTAGAAGTCGATTGGCTCAAGAATATGTGGAGACCAGATTCCTTCTTCAAGAATGCCAAATCTGTCACCTTCCAGACTATGACGATACCGAATCACTATCTATGGCTCTACAAAGACAAAACTATCCTCTACATGGTGAAGTGCGTGTATAAAATGTTACATTAGCTCAAAGACCAGTTATCCTTTACACACAATTCACCTTGCACAGAACAATTTGTCAATTTACTACCGTTTCAGACTAACCCTCAAATTATCCTGCGCCATGAACTTCCTGATTTATCCCCACGACACGCAGGAGTGTAAATTACAGATGGAAAGCCGTGAGTAGTCGATTGTCTATTCTTACATTGAAAATAGACTAGAAGAGATGCATCAGTTAAAATTTCTGAATAAGAACGCAGCGAACTAACAAGTGAAAGAAAGCTAGCTCTCGAATCCACAAAGGGAGAACGTGGTTACAGAAAGACAAAGAAGAAAGGTCGGTAGTTAAAACGAAAAATTAGTACCACAGTTTGACGCTAGGGTTAGTCTCATTGATATAAGCTGTGGTAAAGAGAGCTCGCAGTAGCATTTAAACGGGCCATAGGAGGTAAATGTAGTGACGCACGTAAAAATCCTTACAAATTTATAAAGACAAAACAACTCGGTCAACAGTGTCGCACACGACGGATGAAATGATCTTCCAGTGGGACCCCGACGTTCCCCTGGTCGTCGACGAGAACATTGAGTTGCCCCAGTTGCAGCTCGTGAAAAATTACACAGCCGATTGCACGCAGGTTTACTCCACCGGTGGGTTTTAAAACCAAAGTCTTCTGACAAAAGGGGTATTCCGAACGATTTCATTAATTCTGTCATTTCCACCCAGGTAACTTCACCTGCCTGGAAGTTGTCTTTGTGCTGAAGCGTCGTCTTGGATATTACCTCTTCCACACCTACGTTCCAACCTGCCTGATAGTAATAATGTCGGTAAGTTTAGTAAAAGAAAAGTCAAATGAGAATGGAAAATAAATATTACCAACGTTTCTTTCAGTGGGTTTCCTTCTGGATAAAACCGGAAGCTGCTCCGGCTCGTGTAACCCTGGGAGTCACTTCCTTGCTTACGTTATCCACTCAACACGCCAAGAGTCAAGCATCATTGCCACCAGTGTCCTATTTGAAAGCAGTGGACGCCTTCATGTCCGTCTGCACCATATTTGTCTTCATGGCCCTGATGGAATATTGCCTGGTGAATATTGTACTTGGTGACAATGATGCACCACCCGCTAAGCCTCCACCACCGCCGCCACCACCGTCCTCATCCACTGGAACGGATACGACGAAACTTGACAAGATATTCGATATCGCCACCAAGGTAACACGCCTGGATGGCGCTCCAAAGCATGAGAGTGACTTCCGTGCCTCGAAGGCTGTGGAAAGGACGACCTTACGAGGCACGGATGGGACTAGTCCTGCCGGCGTTCAAGTTGAGATCGTTCTCACACAGGAAAATGCCATGTTGCTGTCTGGCCGATCGCAGAAGTCAAACACCGGACCACCAGCAGGACCGACACCGGCGCAGAAGGCGCGCATGCGCGCGTTGAACATCGACAGGGTCTCTCGTGTCTTCTTCCCTTTCCTCTTCGCCGTACTCAATGTCACCTATTGGATTATGTTCGCCGAGTATATCTAAAAAGAAGAATTGCATCAGGATGATATTATATAATTAGAGGGAGGATCAAGCATACCATGAGGTTGATGATCGAGATCAGGAAATCATTCGATGCGTGATGCGCATTGCTTTTTATTGATCGATCATGATGGGATGTTGATTGATACTAAAAGTAATTGACGTCTTTTGGCAGAAATGCTTGTACGCTCGCTCATTTGTGGAAGATGCATTTTTAAATGCATTTAGGGCATTTTTTTGTTGGATGGATCATAGATCTGGAATTGGTATCATTGAAGCCGGAAGTGGCTGATCAAGTGACTAATGGTGCTGAGGGGTCAGTCGGTGCACTCTTTGAGATACTTGAGGCTTTTTATTTTATTTTCATGGGTAACTTTTTCGATTTATATAGCTAGTCAATTATCATTTTTAGAATTCTGTCGTGTCGTGCGCGAAATCCGCCCACCTCGTTCATTCGCTCGCGGAGTCTTTTTGATAGATTGTTCGTTCGAGGTATCTTGTATTACTTGCGCGGAAAGAGTCATCTGACGTTTATTAATATGACGGCTGATAATTTAGAGGATAATTAATTATGCACGGTTGTATAAATATTATTATTCAAGTTCTTAGAGATTGATTGAACTCTAAATGATCGACGGAATATTCGTCCATTGCTTCCAGGCGATTGTCAATGAGAATTCGTATCCGCTCCTGATTTACCTCATAGCGTAGTACTTAGACTAATTAAAAAAAATAGGATCTATTAAATATCCAAAATTTCGAAAGATTTGCTATTTTCAAAATATCTTTAGGCATAAACTAAACACGTGAATTATGAAATTGCCACACGCGCGTATACTTAATAGTACAAGAAAAAATTATCAAATCGTAATACCTATCTACGCTAATTGCCTGTATCGAAAGTGAAAAATTTTTAAAACAAAAGAGTATTATTGACTTCTTCAGGATATCACGGTCCTTCTGAATTTATGTTTACTGTAAACAGTGTATATGATTGTAGCGCATGAAAACATTTATACATACGTAAAACGTGAATAGTTAAACAAAAATTATAATAAAAAGACAAGTGCTCATAATTGTCAAAAAAAAAAAAGATTAAAAATGTGTCAATAGTCATCGAGATTTCGATGACACGTGCGCAATGAATATACTTAATGGGGATTCGTTTTTGAGAAGTACCATAAAATAATGAACACGAAAAATAACGAATCTGCAGCAAAATGTCACGCGAAATGCGAATTTAAATCGCGTGCTTAACGTAGATTTTATGTAATTGCTAGTAAGACTCATGATGTTATCGCGTCCCTCCTGAAATGACAGTACATCAATTGGATTAACAATAATGACATTGTATCCACATGATATCAAATAGTGGTGAATTAATGTAAGGATTCTTGTATGGACCCTAATCGATAATTAAGGCATCGTCGTTATCATTTACGTAATTATAAGAATATATAAATGCGCAAACTGACACGATTACTCGATTTTCTGCTCACCCAGTGATTGGCCATTTGCCTTTTTATTTGCATAGATACTCATACGATAATAAATCGAGGACACAATCACCTTTATGATAAAAACTAATTATTACCTACAGTATCAAATATTTATTTTCACATGTACGTTTAAGAGCGCATTTTTAATTTACTATTTATTTCCATTTTACAACTTCCTTATGGTTCTCGTTCGCTCTTCACCGATTCTTCACATAACATAGTATCAGTACATGTACAAGAGTAGGACGTGCTAACGGGATAAAAAGAAGAAGAGAATGAAGGAGATCAGGAAGTGGAGGCAATGGCACTTGTATATCATAACCGACATTACATAGAGATAACGACCCACGCTTCCCTTGCTTCCTTTCCCGTCGTCTAGAACGCGGCACGTTTAGAATGAATATTAAAATGAAAAAAAAAAAACAGAAAAAATTTTTAATACAAAAGGAACAAAATCCAACTTGTACAATAGTACATAATCAACGACGCAGAGAGAATAAATCATGCTACCATAACTCTTGACAACAAAACATAGAGTTCCTCAGTTATATCACGTCATCCAGAAGATAGGATTTCGTGGACCCAATTTCGTAGTATATTTTTCGTTTCAATGAAATTTAGTTGATAAGGTAACTGGCGATTAGAAAATAGAGTAACCTATGTAGTAAAGGTCACTTAAAATGAGAGAAATTGATAAACCTAATAGAGACACACATATCTATATATACTCATTAAAGAATAAAGTCCTAAATGAAATTATTCAATATTAAAAAACGAAAATAAAAAAGGATAATCGATTGTACGCTGCGCAAAGCAGAGTCTAATTGTGCGTTTGGTGAGACACAAAGAGCAGAACGAGCAATGCAAGTGGGCCGCACGTGTGAAGCTGAAGCCACCGACCGACTGGATATATACAGGGTGTTCTAAAAATAGTCATGAATCCCTTAGAAGCTACTCACAATATTCTCCTTATACACTGAGAATAAGAGTCACAATAATTTTTCAAAACTTACCTGATACTAGGAAAATTATCATCGGTTTCACAATTCCTGTCATCAATAATTCCTTGTACGACTTTTAGTCTTGAATATTTACAATTAATTATCTATAAAATATAAAATAATATTAATCATTGTCACAAGTCATTATTGTACTGTTAAAAAATCAACATTCCCTTTGCACAACGCGTCCTCCTTCTGGCATCCTTATTTGGCAAGTTCAGTTGGGGTTAGGCAACTTCGTAGAACGAGAACGACCGGCATTAAGGGTTATCCACATTAGAGAGTATGTTCTGAAATAATTTTTCAAAATTATATCGTCAAATATTTATATTTATGACATATACCACGTTTTGTAATGATGTGATATAAAAATTATCACTCATAAATTCAACTATGCTACTGTATTATTGACTCAATGTAATAGTAGAATTCAGAACTGATCTTTATTCTATGAAGATGGTACTTGTAAGCGATATCGGTCTGATAAGAAGAACGACAGACAGTAACGTGACTTCTAATTTTACTAAGAATCCTTATCGACTTCAAGCCAGAGTCGATTTCATTCCGTAAGTCTCCGCCAAATAACATGAGGCAACTAGATCAGACTATATCAAATGACAGACTATCTAGAATTTTATTAATTTATAAAAATCATAAAGATAATCACCATTGATGATTAAGTACTGCGAAATTTAGAAATTTCATACTCATTATTAATTTTAAGTAAATATTTTTTCCTTTCCTTTTCAATTTATAATCACTGCAATTATTAGAGTAGTAATTACAGTAGTCCTGACAACGACTTTAAGTAAAAAGGAGTGGTTGGTACTTGACACGATCAAGAAAGGAAAGGGCTGGAACAAATGTCTCTTGATAGTCGTCATGGCCTGAAAGTACTGATGAAATCACGAATAAAATTTATTCCTTCGTTAATTTCAAATTTTTTAAATACAGTCCTACGCCAATGAATATTTTATGTTAAAAAGCGAATTTATGTTTTGTTGTACATCAATGAAAAGCGTTTGAACATTGTTAGGTTTTATATAACAGAGAGTCCTATAGTCCAAGCAATCAGTGGAGTTTGGTATGAATGCTGCTTTAAGATCATGTACATACAAACATATATTCCTGACATCCCCATCTTCTAAAGCACTCAGAGCTAGCAATGTGTAACTTCGACTACAAGCAAGGCGGTTAATGTTTCTGCGTAAAATGTTCAAACGATAAATTGGACCTCAGGACGCTGATGATTTAGTCATTTAATGTTGATATACTTCAAAATGATTATATACTATTTAATTTGTCCTTAAGTCTTACATCCAGAATGCACAGTTTCTCATTCAACGCGCATTTTGGAATGTTTGTTGCTTCAATGGTCGTCGAGCCGAGCAATATCGAACATACTCGAGATTCCACGAGTGAAGTATTTGAACATTAAAAAATCACAAAGTGCATAGCCAGTATGATATAATGCAAGAATAAAACGTTTAACCAAAACCATTTAGCGGCTACAAATATCAAATCCAGATCTAGTATTTTGCCATGAAATAAGCATAAACCAGAAAATGCAGTAAGGTCTGATGAAACGAAGGAAACATCTGTTATTCGGAGATATTTAAAAGACACAGGAGAACCTTTCCAAAAAAGTTTATCCCTCGAGTATTCTCTTCCGGGAAAAGTTTGCCTGATTTAAAAGTACTCACTAAAAGGGACGTAAACGAACGGCGACGCGTAGTAAGTACGAAATACAGGTATAGTGCGAGAGCCTAAGCAGTCCTATAGGCTAGGTTAAAAATGGCTGACTAATCTGTTCAATCCTTGTGCGATTTACTTCATAGTTATTGGGGAAGCGTCGTGCCTTGCAGTAGGTACTTTACCGGTAATGCTGTTTGGTAAAAGCAACCGGGTAATATTACCACCATGGCGGTAACTTCCAGGCAAGTTTCCATCCTAAGAGCCGATCCCTCCCACATCTCCTCGGTCCCCGAACCACCGCACTCAACTCGACGAGCAGTGCCGAGTGCTACAGCTGCTCTGGAAGCACGGCAAGACGCGTCACCGGCTCTCCTTTTCTTTTTCGCCTTTTCTCTACAATATTCATTTCGTGCTTCATAGTCGTGCACTACTCTCGACTCCCTCGCCGAGCGCTATTCATACGTCACCTATTAGACACATCCAAAACCCTCAAGGACCGGATCGAGCGACGTGATCGCCACCCAGGTACGTACCTATAATCTTTCTTGTATACTATGGCAAAGCTGAGTATAACTGACTGAATTACATTGGTATTGAAGACGTGTAAAATATATATACCAAAGCATTCTAGACTTTGATGCCATTTTATTATTGTTAATATTCAATGGATATTTCAATGATCGCTGTGTTTAGTGATTGTTGTAATATATTTTTAAGACATTTAAGCCATTCCAATGGCAGATACATCTAATTGTAAGATATTTCTGGTGTGCTTATAGTCGTTTTTTTTTCTCTTTTTAAGAAATAGGCAAATGGAGTCGGTGTGTTAAGATCGTTCTGAAGGGACCGGAGGTAGAGAAAAGAAGTGGAATTTCAGGATGGTCCCCTCTAGTCACTATTATATAGTCGCTCTCGTCCTCGGCTTTCTCGTTATTTATCTTACCGGTGAGTGGATTCTTTGAAGTACCATTTTTCAATAAGGAATGGATGCATGAAATTTTGTAGCTATAATTTTTTATCCACTAATGATCTCTTACAACGAATAAGGGTAATATTGATATTTGTCAATACGCAACAGATAATGAAATAGATCTAGATGAAAATAAAATAGCGGCAAGGAAAATTCATCTGGGGAATAAAGAAAGATGATACTTACGAAATCAGTATTCTCCACGAGTAACGTACCCTAGTTTTCATTCATTCCCCTCGCGACATGTCGAAGTCCTTATCCAACTTGATTAGATATTAGTTCGACCCTCCGACCCTGTATTCCGGCGAGCGCAGCAAGTTTATTTTAGTCTTGAAATCTAAACTATTTCAAAGTCTAGCTAAGACATCTTATGTATGAAAAATTGTAAAGATTATGCTCCGATGTTTATTTTAAATCCTTCATATCTTTACCATTGTCTATGAAAGTTCAAATTTAGCAGATGCAAAATGGACAAGACAAAATGAGCCTATATTCATAAGCATAGACACTTATGCTTTATTGATACAATCTGTTAATAACAATACTTCCTGACGATGCACTTTATGAGAAATTATTATTTTATCGTTGTAAACTTATTTGCTTTGGGAACGAGATGAAAAATCATCCTGTCTTTTACACAGTGTGTATCACTATCATGAATTTCCGGCCATTTATCGCAATAGTCTGCAACACTAAAATTCAATGTGTTCTGATAAGCTTGCCTTGTGCTCTGACCAGTGTTTTTTTGTGGCATCGATCCCCGCGCTTCTCATACATTAAAAATTAACAGTTGATAATCTATATATTAATGATAAATAAGAAATGAGACGAACCTATGAAATTTTTACAGATCCAGCCGAGGCCCAGTATGGCAGAGACAGAGACCGCAGACTTCCAGTCAGAGGTGATTCCTTTTTTTTCATACATTTAATTCCTGATGATTAATTTTTAAGAATTGACGAGAAAAATTAATGTCAATTATATACCGTTATTAATAGTCACTGCGTTATTTTTCAATTGGGCTACTGATAACGGTATAAGTGAATTACAAAAATTAAGGATTTGCTGAATCGGAGAGGAAAAAATATGTCATAGTTAAACAAAATAGCCAATAGATAAGATTGGAGGGTTTTATAGGATCTATACGACGAGGCGACATATCACCCTTGGAGGTAATTACTGAAGATCCTCAACGGATACCGATGATCTATCCGAAACTTCGAGGTAGCTCAGTTGGATTTTTTAAAACTCGTATTCAATATCGGACACGAGCACCATGGCAATAACTTAAAATTAAATATTTTTTACTATCGCTAACATAGTCCACCTTGCACTTGTCGCTGTCTATACAATGCGAATAATTGTTGTATCACCTAGAAACGCTTTTAAAGAAAATAATTATATGCGGCAAGGTTTACTAAAAAGCAGAAGAAAAAAAATAATGCCAAGAAATTCCAGGATAAACAAATGGATATTACACTCTTTAACGCAGATATTTAAAAAAGACGGGTATTCACACGACACTAAATAAACTTGAGCACAACTAATAATTGTAGTGTTCTGGTAGTTGGGTTAGTATTGATACTTGTTAGGAATTAAGGTTTAACACTTGTTAACTGTAATTGTCAATTAATAAAATTACATGTAATTCATGGTTCATTTATATGGTGATCAGGTATAAAATAATAATGGTTTATGCAGCAGATGAGATTGTATGTAAAGTAATGAGTCTTTATTTACTAATAGGTTCACATCCCAAACGCGCACATCCTTGCGAGCAGAGCTCGTGTTACCCAGCAACAGGAAATTTACTGATTGGACGAAAAGACAGACTTTCGGCATCCTCTACCTGTGGTCTTCGTGGACCAGAAAGATATTGTATCGTATCTCATTTGAAAGAACGCAAGAAATGTTTCTTCTGTGACGCATCGCACCCAACCCAGCAGCACAATGTGGAAAATATTATCACAAAATATATGCCTGGGTACCTAGCTTCTAATATTTTAATTAGAATTCTATAAGCATGAATTAAACAGGTTTTTTAACCGTGTAGCTCTTATTAAAAATCCTAGCAGACAATCATAGCATCTTTATACGACCTTTTCAGGACACGTCACGAGTCCTGGTGGCAGGCTGAGAACGGAGTAGAAAATGTGTCACTGCAATTGGATCTGGAAGCCGAGTTCCACTTCACCCACATCATTATTCGCTTCCAGACGTTCCGACCAGCTGCTATGCTGATTGAACGTTCTCATGACTTTGGGAAAACCTGGCAGGTCTACCGGTACTTTGCGCACAACTGTGAACAATCATTTCCTGGGGTGAAGACGACAGAACCACAGACATTGACTGACGTCATCTGCGACAGGCGTTACTCGAACGTGGAACCCTCGACAAACGGTGAAATCATCTTCAGGGTTCTTCCGCCCCAATTGCAAATAGCTAATCCTTATTCAAAGGAGGTACAGAATCTGCTGAAGATGACGAATCTCAGGATCAACTTTACCAGGCTACATACACTTGGTGATGATTTACTGGACGATCGGGCTGAAATCCGTGAGAAATATTATTACGCTATTAAGGACATGATTGTTCGCGGCTCCTGTTCCTGTTACGGCCACGCATCCCGTTGTCTTCCACTTCCGGGCGTTCTCCATGAGGAAGACATGGTTCATGGCAGATGCGAGTGCACCCACAATACCAAAGGTCTGAACTGTGAAAATTGCGAGGACTTCTACAATGACGTACCCTGGAAGCCTGCTGTAGGGAAACAGACAAATGCCTGCAGAATATGCAATTGTAATAATCATACAAATTCTTGTCACTTCGACGACGCCGTCTATGAGAGATCAGGTAAAGTCTCAGGAGGAGTTTGCGATGACTGTCAGCACAATACAAGAGGACAGAATTGTGAACAATGTAAACCGTTCTTCTATCATGATGTTACTAGAGACATATCGGATCATGATGCATGTCAACGTAAGTGAATTTCATTATTTCGTATTATTGTCGTTCCTACACGGTAACAATGTAATTACTGTGATCCGTCCAATAATTTCAGCTTGCGATTGTGATCCAAGCGGTTCCCTGGATGACGGAATTTGTGACTCCAGAACTGACCCCCTTAGTGGCGACGAATCCGGTCGTTGTCATTGTAAGACCAATGTTGAAGGTCGCAGATGTGATCGGTGCAAGAACGGATACTGGAACTTTGATATTGAAAATCCTGATGGTTGTCAAGGTAATACATTTTTTTTCCTATAAGAAAAATGGAAAATTCAATATTTACAGCTATTCTCAATTTTCTCATGAATTCTAGCCTGTACCTGTAACACTTTGGGTACCATTGGCAATCAGGGTTGTAACATGGTTACTGGCGAATGTACGTGCAAACGCTATGTAACGACACGCGACTGTAATCAGTGTCTTCCTGAGTACTGGGGTCTGTCTGATGATCAGGATGGTTGTAAACCTTGCGATTGTGATCCTGGTGGTTCTTATGAAAACTCTTGTGACGTGGTTACCGGACAATGTCGTTGTCGACCTCATGTCAGTGGCAGAACTTGTAACCAACCGGAACAAAGTTACTACACTGGTTCCCTGGACTTCCTCATCTACGAGGGTGAACTGGCTCGTGCCTCAGATGTACGTGTCCCTATGTAGATTCTTAAAAGTTATAGTAATTTCAATATATATGACTAAGTCAATGATCATTTCTATCGCAGAATTGCCAAGTGGTCATCAGAGAACCATATCGTGATGGGCGGAACAACACCTGGACTGGAACAGGGTTCATGCGAGCTCTAGAAGGTTCAACCCTTAACTTCACTGTTGGGGACATCAGGAAGTCAATGTACTACGATATTGTAGTTAGATATGAACCCGTGCAACCAGGAATTTGGGACGAGGTTCAGATTATAATCGAAAGAGATGGTCCTGTGGATCCCGATGGTCCCTGTGCAAACTGGGTACCAGAAGATGACAGACTCTGGGTTCAGCTGCCACAGGATTCTCGAAGCGCCGCAGCTGTACCCTCTGTTTGTTTAGAGGCCAGAAAAATATACAAAGTTATATTACAATTCCGAAAATTCAATAATTACGTCAGCACGCCTACAGCTTCTATTCTTGTGGATTCGGTAATTAATTTGAAATTAATTACTCGATAGATTATGTTCATTAGCACTGAGCGATCTTATTTTAATCCTAGATTGTCCTGAGACCAAGAATCGAAACTATACCCTTCTTTAGCGGTTCTCCACTAGGTGAATTACGCCGTCAGGAATACGAGCGATACCGTTGTAACGAATTCTTCAACAATGTTGGTGATTATAGAGCTGATATCATGGAGATCTGTGGCAAATACCATAACAGTATTGGATACTACGCCTATGACGGGGCTCACTGTAAGTGAATATTCTTAACAAAAAGTTGCTAGATACAATTAAACCTTGAAAGAATTTAATAGATTTTCTGTCCTATTTTAGCCTGTGAATGTAATCCAACCGGGTCTAAAAGTTTACTGTGCGAACAATACGGCGGTTTCTGTCCGTGTAAGCCAAACGTCGTAGGTCGCCGTTGTGATCGTTGCGCCCCAGGTACTTATGGTTTCGGTTCAGAAGGCTGTATTCCCTGTGACTGTGATGGCGTCGGAGCGTTGGACAATTTCTGCGACGTAGAAACTGGTCGCTGTAAATGCAGACCAAACACTTACAGCCGAACTTGCGGCGAGTGCGAGCCTGGCTTCTGGAACTTCCCCCATTGTCAGCGCTGCGAATGTAATGGTCATGCTGATATCTGTAATTCGCGCACAGGCGCCTGTATAAATTGTCGTGACTTTACAACTGGTCACAACTGCGACCGTTGTAACGAGACCTTCTATGGCGATCCACGTATTGGAGTCGATATACCCTGCAGAGCATGTCCTTGTCCAGGAACAATAAACTCTGGCCATTCCTATGCTGACAGTTGCTCGTTGGATCCAGAAACTCATGACGTAATTTGCGAATGTTACGAAGGATACGCTGGACCACGTTGCGACACCTGCGCTGAGAACTTTTATGGGAATCCTGAAATACCTGGTGGAGAGTGTAAGACATGTGACTGTAGTGGGAATACAGATCTTAATAGACCAGGAAACTGTGATCCTCATACAGGACGCTGTCTGCAGTGCCTACACAATACGGATGGACAGAATTGTCAAGTCTGCAAACCTGGTTTCTATGGGGACGCATTGAGTCAAGATTGTCAGGACTGTCGCTGTAATGTCCTGGGTACAGACAGGAACGCTGGATCCTGTCATCATCGAACTGGACAGTGTCCATGTCTACCACGCGTGGTAGGACAACTTTGTGACGCTTGCGAGGAGAATCACTGGCGAATTGCTAGCGGTCAAGGCTGCGACGCCTGCGAATGTGATGTTGTAGGCAGTGTCACTGACAAGTGTAATCCCTTCGACGGTACTTGCGAATGCCGACCTGGCTTTGGTGGACGTCGCTGTAACGAGTGCCAGACCAATTACTGGGGCAATCCTAATATTGAGTGTCATCCGTGTGACTGCGATCGGGCAGGATCCGCTAGTCAACAATGTGACCGTGAGACGGGCAAGTGTATTTGCAGAAAAGGTATTGGTGGTGAAAAATGCGACCAGTGTGATCGCAGTTACGTTGGATACGCACCTAGTTGCCAGCCCTGCGGCGAATGTTTTGATAACTGGGACATCATCTTGGACGGCCTGAGAAATCAGACGACTTCCGTTATCGGCGAGGCTTCGCGTATTCAAAAAGTTGGTACCACGGGTGTGTACAGTGTAGAATTTGAGAATATGGTGACCAATCTGGATCAGGTACGTGGGTTGATAAGCAACACTTCCGTGAGAAGTCAGGATTTGGATATTTTCAACGACCTAGCTGAGCAGCTTAGTAAAAACGTTACTGCCTCTGCTACTTTACTAGAAGAAGTAGATAATTTACAGGAAAATATAAGTCAGAGAGTAAATCTAGATGACGTTGCTTTGAAGAACATGAAGAACAGAACGAACAATCTTCACCAGGGAGCAATTGAGCTTCGTACCAATGCGACTAAACTTCAGGAAGCCAATGTTCAGGGAGCATTGACTGTAACTCAACAAATGGCTGAAAAATCTAGACTTTCTGAACGCATGGCTAATGCCACCACTAACATTTTGAAAGATGCTGAACGCTACAGAAAGAATACCGAGAATCTACTAGCAAGAAGCCGCTCATTGGTGAATGAGGCTCAAGAAAAGAACAAAGAATCGCTGATCGAATTGAACGAGAAATTAGACGAACTCACAAATTCTGTACCAGAATTAAACTTGAAAATGTGCGGTGAGAAGGTGAAGGAATGCAGTGTCGTATGCGGTGGTGCCGGATGTGGATCTTGCGGCAGTCTGTCCTGCGACGCAGGTGCAGTACCAAAGGCTAATCAGGCATTGGACGTAGCTACCAAACAGGCGACTAAGATAAAAGACCACAAAGATGAGGCGGAGCAGCTTTTAAGAAACGTAAGTAACACTAAGCAACCGAATAAGATAAAAATAATTAATAAATCATATCCCATCTGCTTCCATTCAAGTACTTGACACGTAAGACAGTTTCCAGATAGAATAAACTACTGGGAGAATTATTTTAAGAGCCCAGAACCTTGGGACTTCTATTCGTACAGATAAGAACGGCAGATGCAGGAGAAACTATCTCAAATAATATATTTTTTTTTCTATAGATGATTCAAGCAAAGCAAGACGCCATCGCTGCAAGGTCAAATGCTCAGGATGCCTTCAACATTGCCTGGGATGTCAGAAACCGCTCTGATAGCGTCACGAGAAACTTGAATGACCTAAACGACAAGATTTGGAGCACATTGAACGAGGACCAGTCTACACCAACAATGGTGCGCAATCTGGCGGATGAAGTTTTGAATAAAGACATAAAACTGCGTCCCGACGCCATAAAGAATTTAGCGGATAAAATTAAAAACATCGTCGGCTCTCTTACCAACTCTGAGCTGATCCTCTCCGAGACGGCAGATGAGCTAAAGCTCGCTAATGATTTGAAGGACAAAGCAAACGAGGCAAAGGAAATAGCAGCGCAGAAACAAACGCTAGCTAGTAACGTGGTACTTCTGCTTACTGACGCACAAACGGCCCAGGATCAAGCCCAGGTTGCCATTGACAAAGCCGAGCGTGATATTAAGTTATCAGAACGCGACTTGACTGATATAATTGAGGAGACCAAGGGAGCCCAAACGAAGGCAGACAACACTACAGAAGCTGTAGACGCCTTGGACGCTCGTTTAAACCTTCTCCAGACGCAATCATTAAAGAATGACTTTGTCGTCAATGAAATTAATGTGGAGGTTGGTAAGGTCGCCGAAGAGGCCCGAGCAGTCGATGAAAAGACAAAGCGTCTCGGAGTCGAGTACAAAATTGCTGGCGATGCTCTAAATCATCGCGTGAACAAAAGCAAAAACGAAATACAGAGAGCCAAACAATTGTTACAAAGGGCTTCTGAACTCACAGCTGACACCAGCACTAAGTTTAAGGATCTTGATGGCATGGAGGGCGTTTATAAGGACAATGAGCGTATGCTGACTGACCTTATGGAAGACGTGAACGCTTTGACTGTAAAAATCGAAAGTCATCTTCAAGAAATTGAAAATAAGGCACGGTTCTACAGACAGTGTTCCACTTAAGTACGATAATTTGCTGTAAAAAAAAAATAAATAAAAAGGATTAAATGTACTTCGGGAAGTTCCGGCTTCTACGATCCTCTCAGGATGTCGACCTCGCTGATTTGGCAGCGTACCAATCCACTTTTCTGGAAACATGGCGACGTTGGCCAGTATTCACTCTTCTTGCGCGAGAGATTCAGGGCCGGCTATACGTTATCGTGAGACTGTGTATCTGTAAATACGAAATATTATTACACGCTGCATCTCACTTGTTTATAATGATTGTCCGTTCCGTGCCAAATACATCTCTTTTTTTTTAATTATATATTACATCACCGAGGTTAGCACTTCGAGATGGAGGATCTGGACCACGAACGTTCTGTCAAGAGGCTTACTATTTCTTTTATCTTCCTTTATTATCTGAATTATTTTCAAGCGCTTCTTTACTCTTCGTCATTAAACGCATTGTAATCGGCTAGTATCGTTCTTCCATAATGACGGACATTTAATGTGTAAGAATGACAATTTTTAATGCTTTAACCAAAACCTTGTAATCGTTATATTTAATATCTTGTTGCAATTATACAGCTAAGAAATATTCTATAGAAAATTTAATGAAAGGACACGAGCATCGATATTTTCTTTATGTAAAAGAACACATTAAAATTTAGATAACAATATCAGTATATAATAGTCGTCCAATCAACTGTGCCTAATCGTTTCTAAAAATTGTACTCGAAATCCATTTGGATGAAAAATAATGGCGCAGTGGACTAAAAAGAAGAATCATTAATTCCTCGTGAAAATTTTGATAATTCCAAATCGTCGTCATTACTGCCGTTTCCTTTGTATCACAAAAGATTATGGACCACCCATTAATATTATAAGAAAAACCTTTATAATTCTTTTTTTTACTTGTATAAAATATAAGTCGCTTATCAAACTCTTACAAATACATCGGATAAGAATATTTTATCTTTATATACTTATTGAATTTGGCTTATTGTATAATTATCCAGTAGAAATGATATCAGAACATGACCGCAGTTTTTTTTCACCCTCATTAAGGCTGTTTCTAAAATCTCCCTCTTCCTTCACGGAGGCTGCTGCTCGCAGGCATTCCGTGAATGGGGAGCTTTGTTGAATTCAGCCGAAGTATGGATCACGCAGGGTCCGCACAATGAGCTCATTCAGACTCCCGACCATTGGCTCTCAACCATAGAGACCTTTGGAAAGTAAAATCATATGAAAACTAGACGTGGGAATGAATAATTCTATAGAATTATTGAAAAAAAAAAATAATCAAGCACCATAACACAACTGGGACTTAAACAATTAGTAAAGAAATTATTGAATCCTGCAAGAAAATGGGAGGTGAGAAAAATCAGTTAAAATTTTTGTTGTAACGATACGAATTTTGGAAGAACAAAAACAGTGTAAAATTAAAATCGTACCTTTGGTAAATTTATTCTTATGTGAGTTATGTGAACGTTGTTCTGGTTTCAGTTGAGAACTAACATGAAGCTGACTATTAATCGTCTTGGCAATTGTGTTTGTACATATGTTATCCGTCTTTACGATTACGACTATGCTTCTCTTTCTCTCTTTCTCTTTCTCATCCTGTATATTATCACGAGGAACACCATTGACATTGAGTGTTATCGCTACCAGAAACAGGCGTAGCATAAAAATTTTCTCCAGCAACGGAATTTACTATGGACCTAGACTGATAGGACTAATCTTACAAAATAAATATCATCCGGGGTCCATACCTACGCTTCCTGCAGATGCAGTTTTCTCTATTGAAAAGCAGTGAAAAATGGAATACAGTAATGTCAAATGAATGAGAGAAACGGAAAGAGATAAATTATTTAAAAAGAAAAATTGACTGTTACATTCAATTATTTCCATAAGCAATGCACCTATACAAATCATCAGTGATGCAAGTACCTCAAAAATAATTCCCATCCAACAGGATGATTTAATGACCGTAGAAACCGTTGCCTCAGTCATCCTTAAAGGGTCCACGAGTTTGTATAGGACTTACGTACCAGGACCATAGCCTATTTGCCATTGAACAAACTTGTACCGATTGTCGTCCTTCTAAGGGGGAAACTCAACAGCTGCCCCAGGTCTCCGCCAATAAGCGACCTGGACCCACGAGGTCGCATTCAAGTCAGCCCACCATGTATTAAAACGCAATCGGCAGTTACCTGGTGAATTGAAAATGAAATTCTGATCCTGAGTCAGTAGCAGAACTCAGTAAGAGTACGAGTAGACGTTCGTCGTCGCCCTACAACAAAGATAATACGAAAGATTAATAAATATAATTAAAGTCACTAAATCTTGCAAGAAGCTCAAACCAATAAAAAAAAGTTAAGACGACTTTTCGTATCCTACGACTGTCTTACTTGACGGATACATTTATCGTCGTTATTAGATACAACGAAAAGGACTACTCTTGCAGCTAAGTTTGATCTAGGCGGTGTCTGAGCTTGATCTCTGAACGAAAAAGGAGGCGGGAAAGACGCGTGAGTTAATTCGAGTGGTGGAGATAAGACGCGGAACGTAAGAACGACGGAGGAGTGTGCATAGAACGGAGGTCGTCAGTCTCTGAAAAGCCAACAGCAATCGCAGTTCCCTGGGCTCCTTAATTTATTACAAAGCTGAGTAATCAGCCGATTTCAGTAAGACTAACGGGATAATTTTCAAGAGGAGGTTAAAATAGAAGAAAAAAATGGAAAGTGTCGAGTGATTGGGTAATGGAAAAATTGCCTGTAAACGAATCGATCTTAAGAGCCACACAGGCTGAAATATACGATAGATCTTTCCCAAGGGCTGTAACGATCATCGCAGCAGCATGTGCAATAGTGTTCAGCATTGTTGGCGTACTGGGTAAGAATATTAAAATAATAAATTATAACGTAAATTGTAAATCAATAAATTATTCATACTGAGACCTTGCGAAATATATTATGCAAATAATATAGACCAAACGAAATCGAGTACAATCGTGGTTTACCACAATGTTTAATAAGAGTACGTGACATATGCTCCGGGAAGTCATGCAAGAATATATAGAGATGACTAAGCATGTCTGAAATACTGTCATAATTAATGTTGCAGAGTTTGAAGATATATGGCAGAAAATAATTGATTGGTTTCTTCATTGATAATAATAGTATACGATATTTGAGTTTATTATTGATTTATCGTAGTACGCGCGTAGCAATGAACAAGGCCACGGTTATAGACTCTACGTCCTTTCATTTGGTAGCTCTCGATTTTTTTTTCTCGTTAAATGTTCGCGCTCACGTATTCGCCTCTTGACCCACAGGCGCTTCGTCAGCTGAGTCGATTAACACGACTGACGTACGTGTAAAGAATTTTATTACAAGATGACCGTTCGGCTGTACGACTATTGTTGCATAATATGTTTTAAGTTCTTCTTTGGATCTTTTATAAGAACTTTATGGTGAGGATACTGACTTTCAGGGAATCTGGCGACAGTCGTTGCTCTCCTCAGATACGCCAGGTTAAGAAGACACGCGACCACTGCTTTCGTTATAAGTCTTTGCTTCTCGGATTTGATTTTCTGTGCGATAAATTTACCACTGACAGCCAGCCGGTACTTGAACGAGGCTTGGATACTCGGTGAGACGCTTTGTCGGATCTTTCCATTATTCTTCTATGGAAACGTTGCTGTTTCTTTACTCAGCATGGTCGCCATAACTATAAACAGGTTTGTTATAATTATATATGTGTTACATTAAAACGGTTACAGATACTGTTGTATGTATAGAGATAAACATATTTTTCTCTTCTTTTTAGATACGTGTTAATATCAAAATCTGCAGAATGTTACGCAAGACTGTATACAATACGTGGTATAATATTAATGCTGATTGCCATTTGGACCTTTAGCTTCTCTTTGTTAATTCCACCGTTACTGGGAGTCTGGGGAACTCTTGGACTGGACCGAACGACATTCTCTTGTACGATTCTTAAAAAGGACGGAAAAAGTCCTAAGAAATTTCTTTTCGTATTGGCATTCATTGTACCTTGTATGGTGATAATTGTCTCGTACCTCTGTATTTATTGGCGAGTACGCAAGAGTCGCAAGAATCTGGAAGCTCACGGGAATGGAAATCGTCGACGAGATGGATTTCATCGCCGTGAAGACTCCAGGGTGACCAGACTGATGCTTACAATATTTTTATGTTTTCTCCTGTGCTTCATGCCGCTTATGCTTGTTAATGTTGTCGATGATAAAATGCAAATTCCCATATTACACATCATTAGTTCTATACTTGCTTGGGCGTCCTCTGTTATAAATCCGTTCATTTATGCTGGTACTAATAAGTTTTATCGTGAAGCATACAAACAACTTCTTTGTCCAGCTAGTAGCAAAATACCAAATGTTCTACCAAAACCCACTCACTCTCATTCCAGTAAAATGTCCTCGCCGCCACCAACGTGACAGGTAATGAGCACACGGAATTAGAAGTTAATTTTTAAAATTGTAAGAAAGACCGATTTTATATTAAAACTGACGTATTTCATTTTTATAAGATTGACAATGTAGTACAACATAAATATGTCTTTTGATAGCTCTTTGATTCGTCTGTGCATGTTATGTATAGACAATTGAAGAAACAATATCAATGGACGAAATTGTGTTAGTTAAATATTTAATAGATCATTAATATAAGAACACAATATGCAGCGTTATAAAATGTTGTAGTCGAACACGTAAAAATACACAAGAATGACTTTAGATAATAAAGTTATCGTAACTAAAGGTACAATGCAGTTTTTAGAGTATCAATCAAAATTACAGTATTCGCATACACAAGATTTTGCACTAACTAATTTAAATGCTATACAAATGTGTACCAAGAATATAATCCTTACACTTTCTTAGGTTCACTGATTTTGTATTTGTACTTGAATACTTAATGTAATTTTGTTGATAATTATTAAGTGCCACTACAAAGAGCAAAGTAATTCTGAGATGTAATATCATCTACGAAGCTGATACATTATTTACGCAAAGAAATGTACATATTTCTACTCGCCTTCTTTTTTATAATTTTCATCTCAAAAATCACGTGAGACAATAAAAATAGTTGAAAAGTCAAACGCAATAAAACAATACTTAAAAAGAGAATGGAATGTATGTTTGGAATGTATTTAAATTATTCAATGAATCATACTGGTCGCAATGGATGAATTATTTAAGATATCTTTTATAAATGATGCAGTAGCTGTCATTGATCATATCTTACTTGATCTTTAAATTATTCCTTAACATATAAAAAGTGGACGGAAAGTACAACAGTGTCATTAATATATCTTACACGGATGACTACTTGAGATAAAGAATATGTAAAAATAACTTATAAAATTAATATTTTGATGTTCAAAATACGATAAAACACATCCGATAGCTGCTCAGGCGTAACTCCGATAAATTTGCACATGGTGCGTTTTATCGAGTCTAGAAATATGTATAAAAATTCCATTTACACAGACGGTTCTGTGAATGTTCACTGAACAACATTACATAAGTACGAGCGTCTTAATGTGCGCGAAAATAATTTTACCCTGGCACGAAAACGAGATCCAGTAAGAGATCTATGTTCTTGAGAATTTATGCAGTCAATTTAACTCCAATTCCGGAATGTATGGTTCAGTAATGGAACTGATTGGACATACGCTTAACGTATCCTGAAAATAACAATAAAATTGGAAAATCTGTATGAAAAAAAAAACAACGAAAAAACTCACCAATCGAATCAGTTCATCGAAGGTTGGTCGTTCTTGAGGATCATATTGCCAGCAGGAAAGCATCACTTCGTAAAGAGGATCAGGTACGTCCGAAAGTTGTGGTAAACGTTCCCCCCGTGTTATCGCTTCCTCTACGTCACTCTCCAAGTTGAGATTAGCGTAGGGCGTTCCTCCCATCGACAGCATTTCCCATAGCAACACACCAAAAGCCCATACAACACCTGGCTGATGCTTCTTTTGATTTTCAAAACACTCCACAGCCGTCCATCGCGCGTACTTTACATCCTCCAGGGCGTACTTCGCTATACCATGACCCATGACCTTAGGACTCCAATCACTGCAAAGTCCTACACTTCTTGCGCAGAGACGATTGTGAACTATCTTATTGTGCTCAAGGTGACGTAACGCGGAAGCCACAGATGCGCTAATTGTTAACATTTTTTCAACCGGAAATGCGTCACCGGATCTTGCTGCCAGGAGTCGATTCTTCAGGGTCTGCGGTGGCATTTCCATAACCACATATAAGGTGTCTGGTATCTCGCAGGTTCCAACGAGACCAGCCAGGTACTTTGTACTTGCTGCTCGAATGCAGACGTCCAGTTCTCGCAGCATGAGTTTCTTATCAGAGGATTTGAGCAAACCGTCTGCTATACTGTGAACAGTTACGTTTATCGGGGTTCCATCTTTATGAACGGTTCCCATGTGCACGGTACCAAAACGGCCTCTTTGTATTACCATGGCATCTATTGTTAATAGGTTTCTAGGTATATTCCATAGTTTGTTCTTTAGTTCCTGATAATGGTTTGTTCTCTCTGGCAGGTCTTCTGGTATATAGGCCATATTGTCCACTTCGTAGACTGGACCTTGCAATGTTAGTTCTTGCTGCTCCGGAAGCTTTCTCATGTGTCTCCTACGATGCCTACGTCTCAGTATAAAATAAACGAGTATAGATGCGATCAATAATATTCCTAGCAGAGCAATGGCTACACATAATGCAATAGCAGTGCTATCCATTTGAGATTCGTCTGCTTTTTGAAGATGATGCCGACTGCTTGTCAAATTCGAATAACTGTACTGTACCTCATCTCGAACTCTGGATACAACCACTAATCCTATCTGCGGCAGTTGCATGTCAGCTTTCAGTGGAACATTGAGGTATCCTCCTATCATCTTTCCATTACCAACTGTAAATCTTTTGTATTTGAAAAAATCACTTGCTTCGAATTCTCCAGTTATGTAATAACCTAAGCCATCACGATTAGATTTGTCATAATCTGAATATACTACGTCACTTCCAATCGGTGGTATAGTGCCTGGTCGCACTACGACTACCTGATAAGCACTGACAGGACCATATTCGCTAGTACCTTCTGTTAGTTCAACAGTTACTGTATTTTTGGTTTTGTCAATTACTTTTGGAGTTGCTGGTTTGTTTGGAGGACCTATTGGAGTCCAATCGATAGCAAAACCTGGACTACCACTGTCTTCAGTGTTGGAAGCAATGATGGATATATTATACTTTGTTCCAGGTTGAAGACCTCCCAAAGTAGTACTGTTTGATGAACCACCTAAAACTTTGTACTCGATTGTAGGAAGTACACCAAACGTGTATGATGTTTTAATAGCCTTTGCATGAAGGGTATATGATGTAAGATTTCCATTTGGTATATCAGGTGGTTCCCATGTAATCCGAAGAGTATCAGGCTTAATACGATCTATTTTTATTCCTCTTGGTGGACTAGGTCCTATAAAAATATTAAATATCTTTATCTCTACATTGTTAAGGAAACAATGGAGATACAGAATTATTTAATGGATTAGAAAACCCATACCTTTTTGGCCAGTAGCGTGTACCTCAATAACAGTACAATTATCTGATTGACTGTGTGGACGAAATTTACTGCTACAATAACATTGCTGACCATTCATTACACCTGCGAACCTAGAAAACAAGTTAACGATGAACCAACTTCAAACATTAACTTTCCCTCCGATATTCTATTTAGTCTCTCGCAATAACATATCCATTACTGTCAAACAATTTTTAATAAAACTATAATATTACATGACCATCATAACTATTAACTTACATGTAGTAACGAAAGCGACATTCTTCAATGCACATAGAGCTAGAATCGGTGTATCCCAAACTAGGTGATGGTACATCCTCATTTAATACAGAATCCCACAGACATCCAGTATAATTTTGTGCATACACTTGGCACCCAAGAATTAATGAGATCCATAACGCGAACATGATACAATGCGAATTAATTAAGAAAAAAAAGAATTATTCTCTATAAGCTTAACTCCACCCACATTATACAAGAACTTTGGTGCACGATGATCCTCTGACTAAACAAACGAATGATGTCAGAATGCAGGTGGGCAAATAACATTTGTTTTTGTAATACTAATAAAAATGAGTCAGTAACAAAATCGAGTGTTTTAATATCTTTGGACAATTATATAGAAAAATTCTCATTTATTCCCGTGGCTTTGAAAGGTTTATATGTATGTCAGGTACAACTATATTACAATGTATGGTTATGTTAAAGGACGAGTGGATGAAATGAATGAAAGATGACAAAGGCACAGATCAGCAGGGCGCGCGCACTACGGTCATTGTTACTGCTGCTGCCAGTTATAGGCGGCCATTGCCGTTCCCTATTGGTTGCTTATCACTCCTTTCTCAATGCACTGACGCACCGAATAATTAGGATGAGATAAAGATCAGAATCTGCCTGGTATCTAAATCAATAATAGCATGACTGGCAATGATGACTAAAAAAAACTGCTAACTGGAGAACATTAAAAAATTCGTTGTAACCTGCATAAAATGTTGTCTAATAAGACTGTAGGACAGATATATAAATAATAAATATTCATAAGGAATGTAGATGACATGAAAAATTCATATTTTCTACAAATAAAGAATATTATATACAGACTTCCAATAAAAGCTACAATTCTTTAATTCATACCTATTTTTTTTGCAAATTTGCTTAAGAAAACTTCGATTTTTATTCACACGCAACTTTTCCATTCCTCAAAATCGTATGTATACATTGACGTACATAGATCAATCATCGATAGGCCATATATATTTATCAGATTCAAAACTTTCAGGATTTATAAATTATGCATTGCATAAGATTGCTGTAAAGTTCGCGTTATCAAAAGGTCGCGGTAAACGCAGCCTTTAATAGGTGCAGCGTGACATTGGCGTGTTATTATAATCTCAAATTAATCTGTATAAAAAAAATTTGAAAAAATATATCATATTAATCGCAGAAGCGTTAAGCTATCTTACGTGCGATCGTTCACCTATAACTGGAGACCGGATCGAAAGTGTAATTAGTCCGAGCAAGACTTTAATTAACCAATGCAATTAGATAGAGGCCACAATGCAGAAAGTCTTTTTCCAATTCAGCTAACAACCCGAATGGCTAAAACTTGGCTAGTTTATTATTCGCCCAATCTACTATCCCACAGTTGTATATATTTCCAAGAAACCTTCAAGGTCGCAGTGCTTATAAACTGTAGAAAGATGCCATCTAAAGGATATAGCGTGCAGACTTCGCTGCTACGTTCATAGAGGCTAAAGACCCTTGAATTAATTTTCAAAGAAACTCCAGGTTCCCCAAACGTTTACCAGGTCAAGTCGCATAATGATTTATGAAAAATTTCGAGTAAAAATGAACCATTCACACTTGGTAACAACTGCCGCAGAGTTTTCAGGTCAAAGTAGCATGAGATCGCACGATAAGTCTTATAGAATATTATTATAACAAGCAACCACTGCAGGTAGACCGATGTTATCGTGCAAAGACGAAGTAACTCGGTTAATTTTCGTATACGAATAATAATCCACTTTATGGAATGCATATAGAAATATCGCCAGTGAAATCCAAGTGTCTAGCGTTCACAGTAAAACGATAAATTCCCATGTAACTTCCTCGCGAAATTACTCGGCGGCTGCTAATGTACTGTGGCTTATATATATGCACAAGGTAACCAATGCTCAGTACGGTAAGGGATGAATCGTGCCAAGAAAAAGAGCCGTAAAGGTAGTTCACAGCGCAGGTCTGGTACATAGAGGTTCCTGGAGTTCTGAAACTCGTGCGCCCCGACATCTACCCGTAGGAAAACTGGATGCCTCGAGTCACGCAAGACGTCGCACCAGGTCCGGCCACCCACGGAATATTCTAAGAGTTGATTCAGTCAGTCATCGAAATGAAGTACAGCGTGTGGTTCCTGTCGGCGCTTCTCCAGCAGTTCCTTTTCCTTGGTATCCTTACACCGGTTTATACCCAGAGGACCCATGCGAGACAAGGAATCAATCGTGAGGCCCCAATCGTACAAATACCTGAACAAGGAACTCTGATTGGCAAAGAGGTCGAATAACTGTGTTATAATTAATGAAGTTAAAAATGTGTTACCGTTCATTGTTTTCCATAAAAATCCTTTTCTGTACATATATATAATTTCCGGTGCTTCTTCTACATTATTAGATATTCCTAACCCGCACACAAAGGGTTCTGCAGTATCTGGGTATCCCGTATGCTCAACCACCGATAGGCCCAGGACGATTTTCTGCCCCGATTACCAACCCGTTACCATCCTGGAGAGGAAACAGAACAGCTACCCAGTTTGGACCGTCTTGCCAGCAGGTTTCCGGCAATAAGAAACTCCATGAGATTCATTATATACAGCTGCTTCCACCTGACCAGCCAGATCCTGGATTCAGCGAGGACTGTCTGTTCCTCAACATCTTTGTTCCTGACGGTGAGTTCTGTAATATACATAAAATTCTTTAAGATATTGACTTTCTTCCCTTGACTGTACTTAATTAAAGGTTAGTTACACGTACCATGCGATTCTCTGAAAGAAAACTGTAATAAACTTCACTGCTACTGGCAGCAAGGTTTCAGGCATAACCAAAAATTACGTGGAGAGCCGTGAAGTCTCTTTTCAGAATATATAAATAATAACAAATAATGACGTAACAATAGTTTTATATCTCCAATGATAATTCTCCATCGCTTTAATACCAGAGCATTTAACTGTCTCGATGATCAATTGTCAAATCATTCGTCACGCTCTGATTAGTCAAAGAATTGCATATGATCGTACCACAGACTACATCCCCATCGAGAATGTATCTATGGTCAAATAGCAGTGACTAACGACATCTATAATCGTACATAACTCAGATTTTCATAATCTCGGAGAAGAATAAAAAAAATATATATAATCGAATCTCAAACTAAATAAAGTATTCGAACCCTACAGTCTGTTGATCGATATAAGTAGTAACGACAACAATAACTAGTACACGTAGTGGCACGCGATCTTTTAGGGCCGAAGAGATGTCGAGATACGAAGGCAGTCACGAAACCTTTCCTTTGCATTATTTTCTTGGACGACGCTCAAACTCAACTAAGAGACCACCCTCTATCCCGTTCTTACCCATGTTAAAGTAACATGGTATGGGATAGAGAACTCCGTTCAGAGCTTTGTACACTGAGGTGAATCATCATCATCGTTATATAGATTTAGTCAAATTAGACTCGCACAAAGTTTCGTATCTACCCTCAAGACGAGGTCAAGTAGTTTAGGAATGATATTTAACAAACGCGTCTACCTAATATTACCCCAGGGGTTGCATGTCCCTGGTAAATTTTACTTCTCCTTCGAGACCCTGACAGAGTCTTCGTTAAACCGTGATTCTGAATTATATAAATAGATGTGACACATCTAAATTGGGTGTCTATAATTAGGATAAAATTTATCTCAAATACCATTATTAGCAGGAATACAGTAAATGGTAATTTTGAAAAATATTTTAAATACAATCGCTAACGGATGAAATCCTTTTAGCTAACCTCTAACGTTTTGATCGATAATAGAGGTCCAATTAATGCAGGAAACCGACCCCCTGATGGATGGCCCGTGATGGTCTGGTTTCACGGTGGCGACTTTAACACCGGAACGCCTGCTATTTGGGATGCATCGATTTTCGTCACCAAGCAGAAGGTCAGTTACCGAAAGGAGATAGATAAGGTATGATAAGGAAAAATAGTGTTACATTTTTGGCATCGGTAAAGGGTCAGGGGTTGGCTTGTTAATTTTTGATATTTTACGGTATTCTAGTTTTACTTTTGCTGAAACATAGAAATTTATAAATTCGCATTAGTTATTCGAATCTGTAGCCAATTTTACTAGAGGTTAAAGAGACATCGTCATATCTTGCTAGTTCACTATTTTTTGATTAAATCCCAATGTTAAATCGATATTTCGAATATCTACATTCACTCGATACATACATGTACGTTAACCCGGCAGCGTCTACGTTGGGTCACTTAGCCCGGGAACATTTTCAAACGTGGATGTTTCGGTAACATATTCAACTCGTAAAATGGTATCTAAATAGTTAAATGAAATAAAACCCTTAAATCTTTAGTCGGGCCTTACAGGCCCATGCAGAAGACGGTGTTTCTTTTTATCATGTAGACGACGCCGGGTTAAAGCGAGTGAGATGAGGATTTTCGAACTTCATCCATTATCAATTAGCAATCCAGAAATTAATTTGATTTTGAATTTTTGGCAGACATTGGTCGTCACGGTAGCTTACAGACTGAATATCCTGGGCTTCTTTACTACAACGGATGCTGCGGCACCAGGGAACTATGGTATGCTAGATCAGATAGCGGCTCTGGATTGGATCCGCAAGAACATTGAAATATTCGGGGGGTCATCGTCGAACATTGTAATCTACGGTCATAGTTCAGGAGCCATTAGCGTAGGACTCCACATGTTGAGTCCATTGAGTAGAGGAAAATTTTCAAAAGCAATAGCTCTAAGTGGTGACGCCATAGGTTCGGTACGTACACCGGAAGCTGAGGAACCGGTAGTTGACCTTGTCGCAGATAAATTTGGTTGTATCCGACGACCTACGTACAAACTTATGGAATGTCTACGGCGAACTGGTGCGGAACTTCTAGTGCAAGTCTCCTCGGATATTGAAACATGGGGCCCAATTGTGGACGCAGAGACAACAAATTCATCAGACCCATTTTTACCAGAACATCCTAAGGATATACTTGACAGTGGTAATTTCAATGCTGTACCGCTATTGACTGGATTTACAAACAACGAACAAGCTTTGGTTTATAGCCAAGCTATTGGCGGTGATGGTGGAATTAATTTGATGAAATTCGAATCTCTGATCGAAGAGGAAATCACAGCCGCCATACAGATGCCGGATGAGAATAGTACTTGTGAAGTGAAGCCACATTTGGCGGTAGATGCTGTTCTATTCTTTTATCGACCACACCCACCTAATCAAAATCCTGCAGTACTGAGGGATAAATATTTGGATTTTCAAACAGAGAAGAATTATGCATCGGGATTGACGCTAATGGCTGGAAAACTCTCAAGGAAAGAACAGGCTTTTGTATATAGATTTGATTACAGACCCAGGACGGTATCAGTTACGAAAAACGTATCAGAATGGGCTGGTGTACCTCATATGTTTGAGTTGCAATTTATTTGGGGACTTCCGTATACTGTTGGTAGTACTACACAATGGAATGCAGCTGACAAGAAGATGGCTGATGTGATGATGACTATGATGACAAATTTTGCAAAATCTGGTAACCCGTCACAACCTAATATCAAATGGGAGCCCTTTACTGAGAATAATCCTGGTATACTTATCATTAACAGGAATATTAATATGAGTGACTCAAGTTCTGTGGATTATAAAGCTTTGGCTTTTTGGAATGAATATTACCCAATGGTACTTGACGAAGCTATGAACAATTGTTGCAACATGACTGCAGGATCTATGTCCTTCGATCACTATTCTTACAAGAACATTTATTTACTGACCAGTATTTTTGTTACGATACTGACAAGTGCTCCTTTGTGATTAGACGAAAGGACTCTAACAGATATCCTTTGAATGCGAAACCATATCTTCTCTTCGAATAGAGATAACCACCTAGTTGATGAATGTGAGAAAAGCGTAATAGTGCCCATCTTTCTAGTTGTCATCATCTTTACCTGGAAGTATTGGGAACCGAATAAATAAAAAATTTAGTAACTTTGAAATTACCCATTTCTACAGGAACCACTAAACGATCATCGCAGTACATTAAAACGCATTTGGCACTAAATACCTCATTTATTGTCCGAGGATTGTCGCCGTTCCAATTTTACACAGCTATTTTCAGCCGCTATGCGCATACAGCATCGCAGCAAATACGTAAGACCCAAGGATTGTAACTGTAGAGTCTTTGGGGTTCTATTAATTGCGATTGTCTGTCTGAATATTAGCAAATGAAATTGACGGGAAGTCTAGTGTCCTGCTCTGAGAGAATGCTTGAGAAATCCCTTTACGGAGGGTTCGACCGATCAACATTTATTGAATTTTTTATTATTTGCTTTAATACGGAGAGATATAGAAAAACATATATTGTTTGAGAAACAAACGGTTGATAACTTATGAATATTTTGATGCTTTCATAATAATAATTAATAATTAATTAATAATGTATGTACTGTCTATGTATAATTATTATATTATATAAGAGAGGTGCGCGGCGAGCGATGCATGGGGGGTTGGTGGCCTGCGCACGCGCACACCCAAACATTTCAATTTTTTTTCTTTCTCCTAAATATATAATATTAACCAATCATTTTGTTATGCAAAACTCCTACAGTGATAACCGATGTCTCGGGGTCTCGTACTACATTTGTGCGCCATTTTTGCGCGTGCACACGAGCCGCCCCGGGACTAACGTATATACAATATTCCACTCATCTCCTCTCAGGACCACTTTTCCATTCCACTCTCGTGACCCTTGTGTTCCGCGTTTTATTAAATTTTCGCAGTGACCCTTTTTTAACCTCTTTCTCTTCTTTCCCTCTATTATTTTTTTTTTTTTTTTTTCGTCGTATCAGCCCTCTCTTAGTCACTAGTATTTTCATGTCGCATTATCCCTTCACCCAACCACTGGTTGTCTTCAGATTTCGACGTTGTAGGAAACCTGGCCACTGCCGTTCCACGTTTACAGAAGTAGACACAGCGATTTCTTTTTCTGCTTCGTCTTCTTCTCCGGCGACTTTTTGTTTATTTGCCGCACCAGGTCGTAGAAGATCTGAAATAGTACGAACATAAAGGATATATTTCAATTACCAGCAACAGGAAGAATTATTCTTAATGGTCCATGACTAATGCACAATAATCCTTTTGAATCAGCCAGCCGCAAATGACATTGACAATAATTAAAGATGACATTGACTCACATCGTTAACATTAATTTTGGCTTTGGCAGAGGTCTCCATGAAGGCGCAATTGAATTGCCGGGCAAGATTGACGCCCTGGTCTTTACCCACTACCCTCTCATCCTCCAAGTCACATTTGTTGCCCACCAGCACCATCGGTACGTCATCCGTATCCTTTACCCGCAGTATTTGCTCCCTCAGGTCCTGCAGGTCATTGAACGTCGACTGCGCCGTTATCGAATAGACCAGCACGAACCCTTGCCCATTTTTCATATAAAGGTCCCTCATAGCTGTGAATTGTTCCTGAAAATTGAACATGGTCCATTGTTATACAGCCTCAGTCATATAATCTCATAGAAATTAGCATCTCTTCGATATGCATTGAATTATTTACCGTGCCAGCTGTGTCCAATATTTCTAGCATACATTGTTGACCATCGACCTCAACCTGCTTGCGGTAACTGTCCTCGATGGTCGGGTCATATTTTTCCACGAATATTCCTTGCACGAACTGTACAGTAAGGGCAGACTTGCCGACACCTCCGCTGCCCAGCACTACTATCTTATATTCGCGCATCTCCTTGCCCTATCTGTGCTCGTAGTCACAGCTGAGCGGTCACCGAATCCGCCACGTTTTGTCCTTCTTCGCAGTCAGCGAGATAGACCTGCAAAAATAAAATGGCATTTGTTAGAAATCGCAAAAAATGAAAATCGGCTTGAACGAAAATTATAAAAATTAACAACTAATAAAACCCGTACACTTTACACACAAATTATCCATGTACATTATACATGTAATACTGATTGGAAAATCGAATTTTTATTATACCAATACAGAATGACGACACTCGTCCAATCAGCACTGCTAAATATTCATGTCATCGAACAATCATCGATTTTCAATAAAATTAATATTGCAGACATAGCAATTAAATTAATAATATAAGACCATTCATTGGCCCTGAAAAAGCTTAATCAATGGCAATTTTCAAAATGGCGTAACAGTCCGATCCCTATTACGTATTAGATAAACGATAAATACTTAATATCCCTCCATCAGAGTATTATGTATCAGATACGCGATATTAGTGGCAGTGATAGCAAGTCAGGAAATTCTAAAACGTGAAATATCTCAAAATCGTTAAGTAAAAATATCATCGACTGTTGGTCTGACGTTTCACAAAAATTTTGACAGTTCCTTCTGGACTCCAGGTTCAAATTAATATCGTACTTTACATCAAGCAAAGGCGTAGGATGAAAATTTTGGCGTGACGCGTGACAACTTAAAAAAAATGGCTCGAGGAACTTTTTCCACTTGATTCACCTCGCAATGAATAGCTGGCTGTTATCCGTCACGATTCTTATCAATAGAGTCCGTCACGAGAATTACGTAGATATAGAAGCATACTGATTGCACTTTATTATTGGTGCCTTTAAAGCTATGGATAATAATGCCGTACGACAGTTCTCTCGTACTCGAAAGGCTTTCGAGAAAAAAAAAAAGGCACTTGACGACACTTTCCCACGATCAGTCATTTTTTTCTCTCTGTAAAATCGATATCGCAAGATAAGAGAATTATTAATGAGATATTACAGTAAATCGATAATGCGTCATCGCGATCGATTTATTGCTGAAATATATTTATTTTTTCCCCACAATTCACAATGCCTTATCTAAAATCCCACGCGCATCCACGTACCTCGAATTCATCGTGTAGAAGCCAACGAAAATCACAAAGACCTCGTGTAACAGTAGCTGTACGTTGTAAAAATAAAAATAACATTAAGAAAAAAAAAAGGCTATTGTCCGATACCACGTAACAAATATACTCCATTAAAATGATCAAGAACAAGACCATTCGACGCCAATGGCCACAAAGCGCACGGATCCCAAGCTAATGCGATTTCAATATACCTCAAAGGAAAAACTAATGGGTAACTAAAAATGTTCGCACTGTTCAAATCAATGAAACAAGCAAAAAAAAGGCTTAAATATAGCCATAAAGAATTACGCAGATACGAAATTTCTAAGAGAATTTTCATCACAGGCTAGGCGCATGTATTTTAATCGTATATTTGACTCCGTCGGTGGCTATGTATAAGGACGTACAATGTAGACCAGACATAGCACAGAATCAGCAAGCCGATATCGAGCTCCATTGTGGGCTGTGAATTGTCACTGGTGTCCTTCCCCCAGATTATCCACGTTGCAGATGTATTGGGCTATTGCACAATTGAGTATAACAATGATAATAAGAGACAAAAGAAAAAGCATCTAACCCCAGTTAACAACGAGGTTCTGCGACTGGTACGCGTACGCGTCGAACCTAACCTCCTACCGGGTAGCCACCTCGGTACATACAAGGTACATGAAAGGAGATAGGCAAGTAGACAGGGATAAGCAAGTAACAAAGTACGTGGAAGCAGATAGGCCAGTAGTCAGGGATAAGCAACTACGTGGATAGATATGTAGACCTGGTGGGTAGATAGAAAGATAGAAAGATAGGTAGGTAGGTAGGTAGGTAGGTAGGTATCTACGTAGGCAAGAGCAAGTAAGCCTGAAAGTAGGTAGTGTCCCCAGACACGTCGGACATCCACTTTGAACTGTAAATACGTTATCTGCTCCAGGGGGTTCTCGACGCACTTGATCGCACACGACCACCTCCCTGGATTCATGGCGTACATTGTACGCAGCAACAGGGATTACCTACTATCTGGATCGGCCGAAAGAGACAAAAAATAAAGGAGGACAAGCCTCGTGGAAATAGGGATTATTTGAAAAGCACTTCGTTACCAATATAAAATTCCAGTAGGATCTTCCCCAGTACCCACTCGTCGAATCTGTTTAGACTCTCTGGCAAAACTAAAGTAGTGGGGGAAGAAATGGGATCGATAAGATAATTAGTGCGGATTAATTTGGTTAAGCGAGATACCTGCCATCAACCCTTACGGACTGAGAACGTCCCTCTTGCGTAAGGGTTTTGGCGCGTTCGTTCGTTATACGTAAAAAGTATACATGCAGATGGGCAGAATTGAACTTGAGACATATATATATGTATATATACATATATGTTGTGTACTCGCCATTAAGAGTGACCAATTTGACTTGTTCGATCGTCATATTTATTGGATCGTATGGTTCAGTAGTATCTCCGCGAGAGGCGCGCGTTACGAATCCCGACGAGTCACGACCGCGCCTTTAGCACAAGCTCGTCATGAATGGACGATAAGAGCAGCGCCAGTGTTTGGATAGAACCAGTTGGACTGCTCCATTGTGTAAAAGTATGTCACAGTGACTCGCCATTCTCGAAAAAAAAAAGAAAAAGAAAACAAGAGAGGAAAAGGGTGAAGCCGAGGAGCTGCAGTCCATTTCTCACCCCCACCGACTACTGCAGGTCGACAATCGACAAGAGGAGTCTCCCCGAGAATCAAAGGCAAAATGTGCCAGGCACAAAAAATAGTAAATCTATAAGGATGCGGCCTTCAATAAGGAACGGGATAAAAATTTAACCTTGGACAAGGACAAGCTAGGAGAGACGAAGAAAAAAGAAACCACTCCTTTTTTGGAACATTAGGCTAATTCCACTAGGTATCAGTTTTACCATCGCATATCACAGCAGGACATGGGCGTGTGACTAGGGGTTGATTTTCATCGAGCGAAATTTTGTTTTTATAAATCGAAAAAAAATACACGCTTCTTACGTCAAGAATTTCATCAGCCAACTATCGTCTCCGTCGATACCACAATCCCTAGTTTTGTACACGAGCGTGCATCGGGGACTTGTTTCCATGGATTAACGAAACCAATTCCCCGAAGGCGTCCCCAGGTATCCATTTAGGTTCGTTACACGGGATTACTTGCGAAGTCACCTAACCGATCCTGGAGCGCACTTATGGGCCGGCAGCAGCCGACGGGTAAATCGAACGGCTATACGAGGCGTCGAGCAAGACTTGATTTACCTCGGTCATAAGCGAATAAAAAGTTTTATGGGTACGTAAAGTGAATTCAGGGTAAGGATACGTATACGCCTGGCGTGTCAACTACGCAGCGACGCAGGTAACCGTTTTCAGCGACTAGAAGGCTTTTCTATTTTATTTGAATTTTCACATGACAGTCAAGCCACGAACAAAGAGAAACAGGGGGAACGGTATTAGGGCGTATACAATAGAAATGATATCAAGGCGTTGTCGACCATAGATACCAATAGCGGTACCGATAAATATAGCCAAGAGATATTACCAGTAAAATTGTACATATTATACGTACCTATATAAAAATATAAGACCGGAGCGCGCCTCTCATTATATCACAAAAACAAACGTTAAATAATTTTTAGTATTTCACATACAGACATTACTGCTAACAATATTCGGGAAGTGGTCGTTGATAGGGAATTCCATAGAGCATGCCGGGAATAAAGTCCAGTCGAAGTGCATCCTGGGTAGATAAGAGCAGGTCGGTCTGAGGATATGATGTAACGTACGATAAAAATATTTTCAAAAAAACTTGTGCGAGTTCCATCCACTATGGAGAAATTAAAAAGAGCAAGCAGGTCCGCCGAAAATTAAAAAAAAAAAAATTTTTTAATAAAAAAATTTTTTCGATAATAATCTTTTAAAAAGGAAGTAAAAACAATGGCAACACAATCAAACGTAACGTAGTGTAATTTCGTGAAGTACTCGAGTGTCTTCTTACGTTACTGTTCTAATGTGGCTTCCGGTCTACCATTCCGCTTCCGGTAACGACTACCGGCCATGCCAACTGCCATCTAGGGTGACGGTGCCCTTTTTTCTCTGAGTTCCTTCTCGTAAAGAACTGACGTAATAGAACGGCGCTCCTATCGGGTAACGTATCTCGTTGTAATTCAACTCGCGAATTTTCCATAATTATATCGACGCTCTCGAATGTTCCTGTAGATAAAAGTTCGACGACGCAATTACAATGACTTCGAAGCGAACGGTCACTGATGTCCATTCATGAAACGAGTTTAATCGCCGTATGTCGTTAGTTGAATTTCGATTGGTCGATACCTCGCAATCTGATGCTCGATATATCGTATAAATAATATAATCGATAGTCAGCTATATTCACGCGACTCCGTCACACTGTCCTTCGGTACGGATGAACGAGCAATGACGAAACATCATGGATGAATAACTTACAGAAGTCCGAAGCTGCCGGAGGGAGATGAGGTCATTGATCCTCGTGAACACTTAATGACAGATTTTACAGACAAATCCATGCCACCTTGAAGACACCGGGATTTACGTCTGGAACGTGTAGAATTCATTGCCCTGCGTTATATATAAAATGGCGAACAGTGACGCGGTGGGGAATAACGTTGGGCAATGGAACATACAATTATAATCGTAAAGGGAGAGAAAGAGGTTATGGTTAAGGTTCTATCTTGTTCTTTCTCCCATGTTTTTACTACGACCGAAGGCCATTATTTAGCCGTGGATACGACAGACTGAGTTTACGTAGTAGAAGAAACCCTTTTCCTAACTGTGCACCTTGTTCGCTTTGTCATAAATGTTACTTTGTATACAGGGTGGGGCATTTGTGGTAACCGGATCGATTTTTTCGGAAACGAAGTCAGATATGCAAAAAATTTTCAGACGGAAGTTGTGACGTTTCAAGGGGAACGTAAAATTCTGTTTTTCTTCGGGAAGTCAAAAGAACATTAAATTTTCAGTCTCAAAGTACAAGTACACTGATAACCGAAAATTAGCAGATGATAAGATATTTTTAAAATAATTTAAAAATATCCGATCTAGTTTGCCTACGTGCCCATCTGGGGTACATTGTGCACCCGGTTTAAAGCTTAATTTGACTAGGGACGTTAAAGATGGCTGCCTCGAATTTCGTCGCGTTTCGCGCTCCACTAGGACTGGAATTCCTTGTAGAATTGGGTGAAAGGGGGACGAGAGAGAGGGCATAGTAGACAGTAAATCCCAGGTAATGTAGAGAACTGATGTTTTTTGTTATTTTAAAAATATCTTATCACCTGTCAATTTTGGGTTACTAGTGTACTTGCATTTTCAGACTGAAAATTGAATGCTCTTTTAATTGGTGGAAGAGCAACTTTGCATCATCCAATTGAAAAATCAAAGTTTACCTTCGAATTACCATAAGCCCTGCACTCCGGAAGAAATTCAATAACGAAACCTTCCGTCCCCCTTGAAACCTGACAGCTTCTATGTGAAACATTTTATGTCCAGCTTCTTTTTCGAAAAAATCGACCTGCTCGCTATAAATGTCCCACCCTGTATAAACGGTTTGATGTGACGACCGAGAAATAAGGTAGCGATAGAATTGTCGATTTAACACCTTTCTTATTAGCTAATGGACAATCAAGGAAACTTGGGATTCGTAGAGCAAATCTAATTACATTACAGATGCACGACTGCAATAAAAGTCTGTGTATTCGTTTAATTCTCTGATTGAATAAATCGAGTCAAACTGTTTTCTAACACTTCTCCGATCCAGTGTCTCTGTTCTACAGAGGTTACCAGGAATCTGGTTAGATAGCTGCCCGTAAGATGGCAGCACGAGTTCTGACCATTAGAATTGTAAATGACGTAAATTTGTGTTACTGTTATACTGATTGTGAGTACTTGTGTGATTGGAATGAATAAAAGTACATTACTATTTATAGTAATCCGCGCAAGTATATTTTTCACTTACTGTATTCCCAATATCCTAGTCAGGGTAGCACTGACGCTGACAATGAGACACTTTCGAAAACCAAGTACACACATAGGCGCGTGCGATAGGTTTGAGAAAACCGCCACTACACGGCAGCACCGTGCTGACGCCACAAAAGAAGGCAAAAAGCAGCGTACGTTTTTTCCTTTTCTTGGAAAACATTTTTAGCCAAAATGATTCACCCCCGGTATACATACATTTGGTGATATTCAAGGTACAAAGGAGTAAGGCTTGAGAGTAACTCGTAATCCCACGAGTCTAAAAAGGATGACAGAGAACGAAATAATATATTTATCCTTAAATTAATAAATGAGGCGATTAACATGATTTCCCCGTGAAATTCTTCAGTCTGCCCGACGAAACATTGAAACGAATTGCAGAAAAAGAAAATTTAACAAAATTCGTTATGCTAACCAGCCAGAACTTGAAGGGTACAAGGGTGATTTTTTAAAACTGCTTCGTTTACCTCTAACAGTACTGAAATAAATCTTTCCCATAACTCTTTATCTTCATTGTCTCCACATTAATATTACTCTATGGCGAATCTACCAGGGAGCTATTACGTTGATACTCTCGTTCAGCGAATGAAACCGAGCGTAAGAAATTTGATTAAATTTGCGGTTAAAAACAAAAAGAAAGAAAGAGGTCTGGATACGATCGGTCGTTATAGAAGAATTTTAAAAATACATAAAAGTGACCAGCAGCATTGGTTACTGGTAATTGCTACCCCTGTGATACCGCAAGAGATTATAACAGGGTATTGCTCATGCAGTACCGCGAGTAGACTGTATCTTTTTGCTTGGAACAAAGTCAAAAAATAAAAATAGAAAAAGGAACTCTGCTTCCGTTTAGGATCTTTCGTACTTTTACTTGTCAACCAGCACTCTAAGTGCCATCCCCTTCAAGATGATGGAGAATCGGGTGCACTTTGGTCTTCGTTAAATCCATTGTCCGTCAGAGGAAAGGTGCTTAAAGTGTCGCCGACTAATCGAACGTAATTGCATGTCGACCCACACTGTAACGGAAGTTGATCACCCTCGTACCTAGACTCGCATTATGGCGTACGTTATGACTCATAAATTCTGTGTAGGGTCGAATCGAACTATCATCGGGATTTTCACCCCCCTTAAAAAAATAAGTGGATTAAAAAGAAAGAACGGGGGGGGGGCAAAGGATTTTAACAAGGATTTACAAAATTATCAAATTACTCAAGTTGGACTGATGTCAGTTTATGAAAAAGGGAAAAAAAGGAAATAGATAACCTGGACTCTCCAGAGTATGTATGTACATCGCGTGACGTACGTGAGTCATGACTTTTTATTTCATAGGGGAGCGCCATGGATTCTGGCTTACCCTGATGATCTGAAATACCTGGCTGAAGGTATAAAATATTATTTTTGGAAAAATTTCCGCAGAGTTTTGAATACCTAAGATAAATTCTTCGAGTAATTGACTAGCAAAGTTATGTTTTGGAATATCTCTGTTTTCTCAATTTCACAAGAACAAAGTTTATAAAGAGTACCGAAGCAAGAGAGCGGATTTATAAAGTAAGAAGAAAAGTGGTCCAGTAAAAGTTTTTCCTCCCTCCTCCAGAAAAATGTCAAAATTACGTCTGTTATAACCGGCCTTGGGCGAAGTCACGTTAGTCACTCATTATTCACTTTAGTCACTATCCTTTCGCGTGAAATATTGAATCAGCCTCCGCCATTTGCTATTCTTCATTGAAACTGGAAACTTATACAGGACTAATCTCATGCAACCGCGCCGTTTTGTCGTTCCAGTAACCCAGTGCAAACTGAGGAATGAATTTTACGTTGAAATCAAGTACAACTGATGCATCCAAGCCAAGCCAACCCAACCTAACCTCACATAACTCGTGATGTCTTCGAGCGACCTGAATTGGGTAAGGTTGGAGGAATCCCTGGACAGAATGTTCGCGTAGATAATAATTGGCCTGTGCCAGGGAGATAGTCACGTCATAGATAGAGAACTGTGAACATGAGCGAAAGAGGGTCAGAGGCAGACACATAGGTAATGAGGTGCATATTACGCAGAGTAAACCACAGACGCATAAAGCGAGGTTATAATCGTGGGAGGACTAGGATGTGAGGTATACCAGTTGTTGGAATGGAGAATTCAAGAGAAGCAGAGGTCAGGATGGTTGAGAATGATCAATCTCGATACTGGATTGCGCAATAGCATGGACAGGGTAGTAATTACTACAATTTCCCATCAGAATATACAGTTTACGAGAATTCCTATTAAATGAATAAGTGCGGTATGGGCAGATATAGATTTTCGGATCTTCGGAAACGTGCCGATGAATTGTACGTTACTTGGAATGCATGAATAATATAAAGCGTGGGGAGAGAATATTTGAATCTGTCTCTTGAACGTGCTTATCTTTCAGGCGCCAGTGACTCGCTTCGATCCTCGTAGCTGGAACGAGTTACAGTGACCTAACCTCAATTTTTTTTAATAAGAAAAGCGGTTGCGCGTTATCGATTCCACGTTGGAGAATTTGGGTGCTGGCCAATTTCACGATCCTTCACTTACAAGAGAACATCGATCTGGATGACAAATTGATCCTTCAGAATCAAGGAGTAAAAGTAAGTCCTTGTTGATTCTCAGAAACTACCTACAAAGTAGCTTTGAAGGATTGGCACCAGATTGGCAACGCACGGTAAGTTAGGATCGGTCAGGGTATCTTAGGTATAAAATATATATGTATGTCCAAGGATTTTTTTCTGGAAAATAAAATGACATTTTATCGAGTCATACTCATGAGAGGTAAACGAGGGTCGCACCATCTGTGAAATAACACGTGTAACAAGAAGTAGCAGCTTCGAGCGTTCAAGATTTGATCATTAATCTCGTAGATGTTGAATAAGAAAAAAATATTACCATTGAGATTCAACGCTTCTGCAACGACTGGAATCGACAGTAAGATTACAATACTATTTTCAGTATTAAAGTGGATACTATATTATTAACGTCCCAGGACAATAAGCAGCAGAATAAAAATAGCAATGTTTCCCATCGTACAATGCTGCTTTTCCTTTCTTTCATTCTGAGCAACAGGACGACGAGAACAGCGACGACGACGTCGTCTCCGTCGGTGACTCATAAGTTCGTCCGTGCGTCAAGTTGTCAACGCCTCTAAGCGAATCAAGACAACTGTCGACCGGACGCGTGTAACGCTCCAGCTAGATTATCCAGCAGAGAAAGACTCGAATAATAAACGAGATAATAGAACTGACAAAACTACAAGTTGAGGTATATATGAAAGCAGCGAGTGTATCCTAGCGCGGAAAATACTGTTGCGTGGCAAATGTACAATTAGCGCCCTACGAGTCTCTCACAATTGATACGAATTGGACAATATTAGGTTGATTCGTGGGCGAACGCCGTGGAGGCGTCCGTCCTGGAAAAAACGGTCGCTACTCGCCGTGAGAAAGCGCAGCAACGGCTGCGGTGGTGGCTTCGCCGCGTTGGGATTTTTAGAGATCATAGTTTTTCAATGATCAGAAGCAAGAGAGTAAGACGGGATATGACGATGGAAGGAGATGGAGAAAGATAAAGTGAGAGAGGAACACGAGGGAGATGGGAGAGTGCTAAGAAAGAGTTGATGGAAAGAGAAAGATCATTATGGCTAGAGAAAGAAGAATGAGCTTACCTTCCACTGTCTTCCACCTATCTCTTTGGCTCTACGCTTGAGGTCTCCTCGCTGCTTCCTATTCGGCGATCGGTCCTCCGGGTTAGCTGATACTCCAGGCACCGATTAACTGCTTTCTGCCGTTTTACTCGGCCCGGCACTACACCGCCATGAGTTCATGTAGGGAAGAGAAAATAATACACTTCACAGGGCGAGCCTTGTACGATCCACGGGCGCGTGTATGTCACTCGATTCGTGCACTGCCCCTTCGCGCCGCTCGCCGGGCTCACGGAAAACTTCCTCCTAGTGAAAAAGGACACACGCCCTCTTGCGACCAACCTTAATAATGTCCAGGTCACCGATTTTCCACGACCGATACGACCTTTGATTCTTCACGTTTAAGACAGCGCGGCGGTGCACAATTCTACCGTTATCTAGGGCGATGCCTTCTTTGCTCACCGCTTTGCCCTGAGTTTATGAATTGTGAGGTTATGTAGAAATTCCACTCGTTTACCAAAGATGATACTGTCTCTCTGCTTTATCTACTGTTCTTTGTTCTTGTACGGCTTGGTTCATATGGTAAGTAACTCGTACTCACATGGTGAGATGAAACGACAGCCAATGAGAGCAGTGCTTTAGAGATGATCCAAGGGAAAAGAATGGAGATGATTGGCTGGTATTTTGATACTCGGTATAGATGACGTTATTGTCGTGAAAATAGACATTAAGTGTGAAATGATTTTTTATTGATATTTTAGGATATATTCATTTTTGTATCATTATAAATTTTTTTTTATAGTTTTAATTGACTTCTTCGTTATCTGTGTCGTTATAATTGGATTTATACTAATTTTACTTTATTTATTGGTACTGTTGTCTTGTGACAATAGAAAAAGCGTATGGTAGATTCCTTACTGATTTTATGGTTTTCAAGAATCCTATCAGGAATATTTGTTTGTATCTATTAATGAACACATTAAATTGTGTAGGAGTAGTACGCCTTTGCGATCTTATTTGTTAATGCCGAAATCATTGGACTGCCATTGCTCCAGCATTTTCGATACAACCGAATGAGCCATTGGAAATTGACTTTACTGCCAATCCCTCCAATCCGGACATGTTTTTCAAAGTATAAACACATTAATAATAAATCACTTGTGGATTTCTGGTAATCATACATTCTCAGGTTACTCGGTTAACCATAATAATTTAACGATACGTGAGTAAATCAGTTTTGAACATACGAATAATTTGGTGGTGATAAAGTTAATCTTGTCTCAGAACCGATGCGTCAATTAAGAATAAAATTTGAACAGATGATTTAACGAGATATAATTGACCTTGAATATCAACCGAATGACCAGCAATTACGAGCATGAATAATGGCGGGAATTTCGAAACTGCAAAAATATTTATGCTCTCATTAATCTTCTGTTATTAATGATTACTTTTCTCTAGATTGAAATCATAAAACTGATGGACAGTGTTAATCATTACCGTAAGCACGGCTTGCGAGTAGCAAGTCAAGCAGAGATTCTTAGATCTCATCAAAGGGATAATGACTTTATTAAAGATTTGCGAGATCAACTATCCGATATATTGCATAAATTTGGATGCAGAAATCTCATCTCAGTTGTCAATTCAAGCATTCCTATAAAATTAGTTTACTTCTTTTTTACTTCCGGATTAGGAAATCAAACACTGGGTGAAGAATATACTGGTATTGTACAAGCCAATTTCAAAGCTCGTAAAATTCCATCGCTTACTGTGTGTAATATCTTTCTTACGTAAATTTGTCCTATGTTCCCTGTGAGTTAAAGAAGACTCTATTTCACAGGCAAGAGTACTAGCTATTTTACTGGAATGCTTTGGGGAACAGATTCTCCTTAAGATGTTAGAGAAACTTCAGACATCAGTAAATCATCCACAAAGTGAACTTAGACCCGAAGCAATAAATTGCATTAATAAATTACTCAGTGGATTGAGAGCAACAATTCCTATTTTTATCTTAGCACATAGAGGATTGTTTTATATATATGGCAGATACTACAGTTTGGGTAGACGAGTTGCTGGAATTGATTATGCCAAAGTCAGTATTCAGCATGCAATGCTGTAATTCTTAACAATTTTATTGACGATGATTTTTCCAGGTTTATGGTCAATATGTAACTGATGGTGTAAGCTGGGGATTAAGATTATTGGGTATCGCTACCTTGATTCAATGTATTTTAAGATTTCGACAAAGCCTACAAGTAACAACTGCCGACAGTAATAGTATAGAAGTCGAAGAAAGCATTGGGGGAAAGTGTCATCTTTGTCTCGAAGCAAAGCCAACAACTGCAACACCCTGTGGCCATTTATTTTGCTGGTTTTGTTTAGCAGATTGGTTAAGTGGAAGACCTCAGTGTCCAATATGTAGAGAACGTGTAAATCCGTCACGAATAATACCCTTAATGAATTTATAATGAAACATATCTCGATGGCAGAATTTGTTCTATGAGCAGGAAATATAAAATGTTAGATGTAACGATAATATCATAACATATTTGTATATATTACATGTATAACCCTATTGTTACTTCAAAATAAATCTTTCGATATTTAAAACCTCATGTTCTTCCTCCATACAAAGTTCATACGCCACCAAGTGAGCATCGAGCTTCAAAAGGCTCAAGGAAGATTTTCTTTAAAGCTTTTACAAAAATATCAAGTTTATTACGTTATGCACGCACGCGACGCGTCTGTATAACAATACATCATCCACACGAACAATAATGTACAATCGTTTCGTTTCGCGTTTAATGAATCGATTTATAAAATACGCAGTTGAGTCATTGAATCAATAACAACAAATTCATGATTCGGGGAGAAGCTGAGCCGTGACGTTTCCGTCACAAGGATGTGCGCTGAACAGAAAGAATACCTACTTTCTCAGCAAAATTACCAAGAAGCTGACCAAATCCGCTTGATTCTGAATGGTCCTTCATGCGGAATCCAACCGTATGGCTATAAGCATTATAAAACAATCTACGTAGACACTGTAACCGATCTTTCCTGGACCTGTAAAGAAAAATGGAATTAATCAAAATATGCATAATGACTTATTCTTCGGAAAGACATTATAGCTGATACTCACTGTGCCAATGCTGAACTCGTATCATCTTCGATTATCGTCGTACTCGATTCTTGTGAAGCGTGTCCGGTACACGTCTCACACAGAGGTTTACAAGCCGCGCTACCGGAAGCGACTACATCGGTGATAGGTGCGTTAGCAGTAGTGGAACCACGTAAGCTACCGGTTCCGGATATCATTTGCCAGGAACCTCCAGAAGATGAAGATTCATTTCTTTGTCGTAGACGAGTTGGCACGGGAACAGCAACGGGTGAAGTACGATTTGGTGGCAGTGGGGATCGTGAACCATGTGCTCCCGTTTCTTTATTTGGAGATGGATAAAATGTCCATGGCACAACATTCCTGCAACGTTGACAGAACATTCTGGGTAACATCAGAGTGATATATTTTTTTCTAATTAAATGATTATCTTATAATCGGCATCATTCACGTATTTGCAATCTGAATAATAATCAATTTGTAAATAAAAAAGTGATTAAAATCAGCGATAAAAAACATACATTTATTACTCACCCATTACTATGACAATCCTCTTGAATCTCTGTGGAAGCACAATGGAACACTGCTGGAGGATTGTTATCTTGACTGTCACGACTATTTTGACTGACTGAACTGCACCAGCTATTAAGGCTCAAATTTGAGCTGACAGAGCTCAGGGTGACAACTGATTCGCTATCGAACATAACATTATCCAACTGGGAATCACTATTGTTTCGCAACACTGCATGTCGTGTTCTATTCAAACGCGAATGAACACTGAACTCCTCGTCATGAATGTGTTTTAAGAAGTAAAAGCAGAAGAAAAATATCTCTTCTCCTTTACTGAGTCGATCCTCTAGATCATGTCCAAACAGCATCCAATCGTAGGCTATAGTGAAGTAGAGCATCTGGAAGGCATTCAGAGACGTGTGGACGGCTCCGTCAGCCCACAGACTAATTCTCAATAACGAAACGAACAATGGCGTGCGGTCCCATCCTGAATAAGTCATAATTAGTTTGGAGTAGTCTCCTATAAACTATATTAGTAATACTAATCATTTTTATATAAAATGAATGCATACCAGAGATGCAGTGAATCAGCATTCCGCTACTACTATCGTTCAGGTATCGTAGTATAAGTTTCAGGTAGTTCTGAGTGAGCTTAACTAGGTCCCAGACTTGGTATTGGTCCCAGTTGATACGCAACTGGGCAGAAATCGAGTCCTCTGGAACACCGATTTGGGCATCCACGTGAGTCTGAGACCAGTCGAACACCAGTCCCTTGGCTAGATAGTCATTCTCGCGGAATTCCTTGAAGAACTCACATCCTGGGTATGGCAGTGAAACAATGGTGAAGTCGGAGTACCTCTTCTCTTTGTCTACCTTCTCCGAAGAAGTCACGCTGAGTACCGAACAAAAGAGCTCTGTTTAAGGGCCTCTAAAAGCGGATGCAGAGAGTAAAACGAAATGCTTGCGCTACCAGTAGAAATTTAAATTTCGATTATTGGTAACCACTTGATCGACTCTTTTTTGCATTCTGTCCCTCTCATACAATCAAGATGGATACGCTCTTCATTTGATTTAAGACAGCTTAGGCCAAACAAATATATCTCAGCTTCATTTTATTAATGTTTTTCAAGACAATTTGGATCGCGTTATCATATTCCATAGCTGTTGAAGGCCAACGTTCGAAGATATCAAGTAAAAATTGTGTGTATGTGTGTGTGTACTGTTAGTAAAACATTGATATCTGATAATTGACAAAATATTGAATTATGTATAGAATATAATCTTTTGACATGCAAACTATGCAAACGAGTCGTATTGAGTAATCGGAGATAACCTTTGGAACTTTCATACAATTTGGACGTTTCAGAACATTTAATTGTATTATGAAACGAGGTTGTAGAAATATAGCAAACGGGTGAAGTGGCTATTTTTTAATTAAAAATAATTGTATGTTATTGGGTATTTTATTTTACGTACGTATATTTACGCACGTGTTTGATTATTGAATAGTATCAATTCACTTACTTCATTCCGAATTTGACTTTCTTCTTTTCTACCATGAAATCGATTATGGTTCCTACATTGAGTGTTTTGAGTAACTTGATATCCTGATTTCGAACTTTATCAAAGAGCTGCCAATCACTGATCATGGAATCTCCTCCACGAGCTTCATCCACTTGTTGTTGTACCACGGCTGCAGCTTCACTACCCGCGAATAAGTAGTCCAGACCTGATCTTCCATAGATCTCAGGGCCACCGGATAAGGTTGCTGATCGACAAATATGTCTACCTTTGTAGAGTATAACAGGGAGTGGAAACCTTGAACGACACCTTGCAAACCTGGCACTCTTGATAAGCTCCTTCAGCTTATTGGGATCATACATGCTTTCGTAAATTGTTTCAGTAGTACGTGGCAGTGGTGGTGGTGTATCACACATATTAGGATTTCTGTACTTTTCATATTCAAGAATAATTAAATGGCTGGGGTAATGTGCACTAAGATCGCCTGCATTGTTATTTATCACTGAGTGAGTATAGTCCAATTCAGTGAGTAAGAGACATCGCTGCATAATTGCTTGACTCTGAAATAGTAATATATCTAATTTATGTTGAGAAAAAATTATGTAATCAAATAAGTTTGTAAACACTACCGTGCTGTCTGCATCCTTAGCTTTATATGTATTCTTGGAAAAATATACAAGCAGTTTCTGCACATCTTGAATATTGATCTCAGTCATTTTGCAGTGATAATTTTAAGATGTGAAGTTCTCCAAATTTAAACACACAATGATTCTAATGTAGGAGGTCCTATGCCACCGCGATCCCCACGGGGCACAAATTTCTTAAAATGTCTCACGTAACAAAGATACGGCACAATTGTTTGCATCGGTGTACACCACATAACATTAATTTGTTTTCTATTCACTATGCTTTCGTTGGTAAAATTACTTGAGTAGTATGATAAGTATTTAAATAAAACTGTACTGTTCTAAAGTCACACTTTGCCATTGCAAAAGAAAAAAATTCAACGTTCTCCTCCTGTTACACATTCAATTACTTATTATTAAGGTCACAAATGACAAATACAAATATGTAAGGCTGTTCTCTATCATCTGTGAATCATAATATACAATGAAAATAGAACACTCTTTAAGATCTTCTTTCAAAGATCACGATACATTGCCCTAATGTTACTTCAACCTTCTGTGTACCATTTCCTCTAATAACACAAAAACTCCAGATTAAGTAATCCATTTTTAATGCAAAATTATTAAGTGCATATACAAGCATCTAGGGAAACGTTACAAAATGATAAATATAACACTTTAGCATTTGTCTTAAATTTAAAAGATAAGGAATTCATCCTGATTCCAATAAAATGTAGCATCTCGTGCAAGGAAGCGTAATCGTACAAAAGAATGATTATATGAAACGAATCCACTATATGAGTTAACATCATTCAAACATTCCTCCAGTGAAAAATATATCCAATTCAACCTTGGAAAATTGGATGATCACGATTCGATAAGTTATTGCACAAATAGGAAATACGAATGTAATGAACAGTAAACATGTGTTTTTTTACATGTAAGTTTCACATTCATGACAGAGAACATAACCTCTCAAAGGAACATTGGCCGCGTGAGCACTGGAGAGCACGTTTCAGCGCACGCTGCCACCTGGCAGACAAGATCGTATAAAATGTTCCTCACAACTCTGAAAGAGTTTCATTACGAAATAAACCTTAATAACTGACAATTTTACATAAAGAACTAGATAACCACATTCAAAGTTTTTTTTTTTTAACCAAGAACACAACTCTAAAAGCAACTCTAGTTTCCTTAATCCTAGATCTTTACAGGCGCATTCTCATCGTCTTTATTGTCATCATTGTCGTCAGTCATTAAAATCATTCGCACAATAATGCCAATAGTCTCTATAATAGAGAACAACTAATGCGTATGTCGATATTCGTCATTCACAGCTCCTACACCATATACGATCTCTTCCAGGTTTTATCGTGTTTCATCACGCAACCAAGACCACGTTTCTGTTATTTGTAAATCTTTTGTTCTTTTTTTCTTGCTATTTATACATTTTTTTTATTCCCGGTATCTCGCCTACTGTTAAAGGATCTTATTCGCGCTCGTTTACCGTTCTGTGCATCCTTATTCTGCACAGTCGGTATCGTGTTTCACACGAGTCGCCTCATGTGATGCGTTATTCACGATTATTAGTACGCAGTACTTTCGTGCGCTATATGCGGTGGAGAATGCGGCGGAACTGTTCACCCGTTCGCGGATTACGTATTGCGAACTAGTGCGCCACAGCTGCTGTACTTACGAATCGCTACTGCCGGTTGGTGGTGGAATAGAACTCGCTGTGACTATGGTAGGGGTGCTTCGAAATCATTCAGAAAAATACCAGTTTCCCGACGGATCACATTGATCGTGACGCTTTATAGATTTTTTCACTTCCTTAGACATTATTTTTTAAATCGGAAGCAAATTGGACTCCTCGAATGATACATGGCTTCCGAGTCACACGTAGAATTTAAAGGTGTGAGGAATGTTATGTAAAAGCATTCATTGAAGATAAATAGACCAGGAATCTTACCGGGTTTGGTGTCACGTGAGCCTGAGTGTCGAAAACATTCGTAGATTGAATTACCGACTGAAGTGCAAACGTTACGAATGCACCAAAAGATGGTGATGGGTACTAGTAACCTACAGCGACTCACTGTCGTACCGACCACCGTCTTCTGTGCTAACGCCATCGACAACTACCTAGTTTGTAGGAGTTTTCTTTTCCTCTAGCAGATACTGTTACAATTAACAATTACTTAACATACAGTTCCCAGTGAGAAAACTGGCTAGTGTATTACCTAAAAAACAAAACAAGAACGGTGAAATTACACGTGAAAAACGTCAATTGTTATTTGTTATACCATATCTTTCTCGAGGTGCAAGGTATAAATTATTTGCACGAAGAATATAGTATAATAGTTACAAGAGAAAAAACCTCTTGGCACTCTTTATTGTTATTGGGTTAATCTACGTTCAGAAGACTATGCTAAAGTCATTTAACATTAAGCAATCTATTGAAAAAGTTGGTTGAATTTCAGAATAAAAACGATTGGGTTAATTGAGAAGAAAAAGTCATAAAAATGTTGGATTTCATTTGAATGTGCTTGGTCACCGTAGTTTGCTGGTAGTTCGGTTTATGTCAGATGCCTCCATGCTGTCCATGTGGGTTGGGCTTCGACACGGTCGTATTTTTCACGTTAGGCTGTCTAAATGGGCATTTACATTGGTTTTTGTGGCTGTTCGGAATAATTATTTGCTTTTTGCATATTCTTTTTCTTGAGGTTCTTTGCCTCTTGCTTTTATCTCATTTCACATTGTCTCATCCTTTACTGTTTATTCTTTACCGCCGCTTGAGAAAGGGTGTAACAAAGTAAATAAGTCTAATTAATTAATCGCATCGCAGTGATTTTCAATCGCGCGCGAAATCTCGTGTGTTGACCTAGTCATACTTAATAACTAAATAATTAATCTCTCTTCGAAAATTCACATAGGACAAAAGTAGTCGCCAAATTTGCACGTAGGTGAACCGTGAATGCAGATGCACAGATTAGACCTATGAACTATACACATACAAAATAAGAGGAAAACGAAGACCAGATGCATCATATTCAAGACACGAATTCCTTGGTAAGTGAACTTTTCTTTTGAATTTCTTTTTTACTGGTGGTAAAAGTTTTATATAATATAAAAATTAGTGTTCTTCGTAATAATTTGAATGAACGTAACGTGAACTATAATGTACGATGATGATCAGTTTATGGAAAATCCACAAGATGTCAGTAGCTCATTCACACGACCTTAAATATGCGAGAATCTTCCCTCGCAACTACACTGTCATGCTTCAACCAATTTATCCTATGTTTACATGCTGTAATGATTATTTACTCTGCCACCTAGCTAATATCCCGCTTATCGATCTACTTTCCGTAAATTCCCTACATTTTGCCAAGAATTATAAAGCAATAAACCCCTGTAGTTTTATTAAATCAGAATATTTTTTATTTCTGATCTCCAAGCTAATTTTACATACCGACTTTCTTTTTACATTCTATAATTTTTCAGCTCCTTTCACCTGGCCAACGAGTTCCCTTTTCTCATAAACGAAAATTATATCGGCCGCGAAGTTAATTGGCCGGCAAAAATGAAGCTCTTCATTATGAAAATAGAGGGTGGTCTAGTCATTGAAGGATGGAACTACTTTTCTCCTCTAAATAGTAATTAATTGTCAGAGTGAGCATCCGAGATTCAGACTCGCACGTCACTTAATGACACTTGAACGTTGAAGCAGGTTTCCTGCATTTTCTGTATTCAGTGCAAAGCTTCTCATAATGCTTACTTGAGTTAGAAAAGCACAGGTATCACGTATTCTGTTTAATCTGATATGAATTTCATGGTTTTAGTTTCTTCGTACGTTATTAATAACCTTGTAACGAGTTTCCTGCTTAATCTTATGCTTACCGTGGTAACAGACCATCAATTGTTGTACTGTACGAAGTTGTACCGTCTATGGATGTAAAACTTGTTTTATAACCGTCCGTGGAATTTCACGAAGAAGCTTCTACTATATCTAATAATGAGGATTACAAACGCAATAATTAATGGTATGTAGTAATTAAAAAGCGGAATATTATTATCATAAATTGAAAGAAATCATGATAAAAGTATGTCTGAAATTTTTCCGACTAAATGTATAAAATTTTTATTTATATCTTTGTTACAATCAGGATGTGAACTTTTTTTTTATCTTTGCAACGACGTCGTATCCCAAGTAATACTGTGCTTTGCAGCATACATATGTAGATGGGTATGAAAATAATATATCCATTACTGTACTATGGTGTTTCGTATGACTTTTATCTACCATACCTACTGACGGCAACGCAAAATTCAAGAACAAGGTAAGTAAAGGTGATAAAGGGTGAACTCGGGTATCACGGAGCACCGAGTGTAATGTGTACACTTCGTACTTCTATCCCACCTCTTGTTCAAGGGTCACGTAGCACTCCTCTACGAAGAAGTACCTATATACCATTCTGAGAAACAGAAGGTGCAGCAGCGTAGTAGATGGCTCAAATGCTGGAAAGGGAAAACTTCGGTCCTTTGTGCTGTAATACGATGAAAAGAAGTTGTCGAGAAAATGGCGGAATGGCTAAGATTGAGGTAGACGAGGAGAATAGTCAGTCTAGATGCTGATATTTAACCAGAGTAAGAATAATCGTTATTTCCTTTATCTCCTTCGTGGTTTAACCATGTTTGACTAAAATTTTCGTTGACGAGTAAAAATATACGGACGTAAACCACTGTAAGAGTTCAATTACTATGTTTTCATTTTGTTTTACCACGAATGTAAATCCTACGTCACCTTTTTCAACAGCGCTTCGATTCCACGGGACGGAAACATTGCCAAGCTCTTTTTAATGGACGATACACGTACCAAGTCGTCCATCTTAATCCAATTTAGTTACCCTTTGTGTATTCATGATATAAGCATAGCAACGGGTACAGAACATTTACGATAGGGTGGCCTTTTTGAAAGTTTAGAAGGGAGTCAGCTAACTGCGACTCTACTCTTAGTACGTCGACATATGCCAGGAGTGGGTCTCCACGGTGGATGTGAATTTAAGGGTACGTGAGAAGTGTGAGTGGCAAACAGGGTTTACAGATACCCGTATTGCCCTACAGGGAAATCAAGACGGGCCATCCTGTGGCGTTACGTACCCTTCAACAAAACCACGCATTCCATATCCAAGTGGTGAAGTTCGTAGTATGTGACGTACCACCGAATACGGCCTAACGGAAAAGCCATGAAAAAAACACTGGGAATTTTATCCTGTGAATATTTAAGGTACGAGACTAGTTTCTTGATACACTATACGTTTTACGCGGATACATGACGGCAGGAGATTCTCAGCCAAGAATTTTCTTGAACGTCCTATCTGTTTAGGATATCAGTTGTCAGCTTTGAGGTTAGAAAATCATCATGAAATTTGTAATACATTTATTTCCTTTTTTCAGCGATACATTCGACTGCCTCGTGCTTTGTCATGGCACCGTGTGAGGTCTTGTGAGACCGAAAAATTTGGATCAAGATTTTCGAGGTTACGAGGGTTCTCTGCTATGACAACGGGAAGATGAACGGATGCTGTGACAAGGATGTGGAGGAGTAACGATGTCACCTTAAGAAGGTTCGTGGGACACATTGACATGCAAAAGCTTTTAAGTTAAACGCGTTAAAGTGAAGTTTCAAAGTTTTTTTTAACCATGGGATTACCTTATATACGTACGCGTGTGCGTTTCATATGTACCTGCTGTGCAATTTTGGTTAACGGCCATCGTCTGGAAACTTGTTTCTGATGAGTTTTTAGTTTTATATTTGAGCGAGGATTAAAAGGCGAAGCTAGTGTATCCAGTGTTCTTTACTGAGCCATAGAATTCATTGTCGGTATTCAATCTTGTTCGAATGTAACGTTGTCTTCGATGCTGATGATTTTCTCGAGTGCACTTTGCCGGACGAATATTACGGGAACTCAAATATCGATCGTAGCGCCCTACTATGGGAATTTTTCTTGAACTACTGGCGCACTTGACTGCCCTCGCTATATGAACCTTGATTAAACAGAAACTGTACTGTAATACATATTGCAATTTTGATTGATAGCCAGAATGCTTCTAAGCGTGAAACTTTTCAGTGTTACATTGTCTATGTTGTGTAAATATCTGAGGGACTATTGACACGCACGTGTCGATACTACGTCAAAGACTTGTAACAGTATTATATATCGATTATATGCTATCAACTCTATATCAATTTATATCTTCTATGACATGCACTGAACGGACTTGCGTACATAATTTGACGTAGACCACATTTGCGTTTCAATGTACACCTGAATAGATTTTTTTCACACTTGATCTAATAGCATTATTTGAACTCTTAATATGATTACAGAGACTTACTGCTGAACCAAACTTCGATTATCTTTCAGAAAATTACCACATGTAACACGTTCCTTGCCGCGTGGGGCGTATACGCCAGACGCTGCCTGATCGGAAAGTAACAAAAAAAAGTCCAGCACGGAACGTGTTAATAAAATAACTGCAATTTTGATATGCAGCAAATTAACTCAGGTATGGATCTTGTACTAAAGGTGTTTTTAAATAATCATTAGGATTCTCCAGAACTATGTGTATCTATACATGAAATTTTCATAATTCACTTTATGGCCAAAAATGATTTTGAATGATGACAATGATCATAAAAAATATTTTTGTAGTTTAATTCTTTCCTAAATCTCAATATTGCAAATCTGCTTATTCGAATTCTTACTACTGCATGGTACCGAATCGAGAATCATGCGACGTCAACTCTCTCAGAATAGATTACTGAATATTTCCAAATTGAATAGTTGCAAATTGTTGACTGAAGTTAGTTAACGATCATAGTCACTGCTCTTGCCCGCGCTTCAAGTATTCAGGGTACGCTATTGATAAACAGTATTCAATAGAGTTGCAGTCTGATTGGCGGAAATGCTGATATCCGTTATAAAGAAAAAAAAAATAAAAGAATCTTTATTTTGGAAAATTGTTACAGGCACGCATATTCATACAGTGTATTCACGGCTTTTCTATTTACCCTATCGATATTCTTTTTAATTAATGTTATTCGCCTATAAAATATATTTTTTTAATCAAGCTAATAACCAATATTCTCCAGTATCATAATCAAAAATTCAACGCCACCCTCTAACGAGTAATATTACACTTACTGCACAATTAGGTCTCAGCTATATTCACCTAAGCATTACTTTACGGTGTACCTCGCGTGCTTCATCGCTTTTCCCCGATCTCTATTATATTAACGTTGAAATTTATTCAATGCTATGCGACCATCTTGTGTTTCTGGTTAGCCGAGAAGTTTTAAAATTTTAAACGTACTTTGCGCCCCAATGAATCTTTTCTTTGGCAAATAAGACCCACTATTAAAAGCCAAACGAGGCTATCAAAATTTTCAGTCACCCTCACATTTCTTAAGGCACTTGGTATTCAAAGGAATCTTTTTTATTACTCATGAACACTAAGCACTGTGGATCTCCCGATACACGGCACCAGTGAGATTAATTAGTTAAAGTATCATTCAACATTTTTATTCTTCACATTAATTTCACGAGGGTCGGTACACACTGTTTTAAAGATCACTAGAGGAATATATATATTTTTTTACAGCATCTTCCTACCAACTGACGTGTCTCACAATCAACCTCGTACAATGTTCACTACCCTGTTTGGCTGTTGCCGCAAGCCAACTGGTTCTGGCCCCCAACACGTACAGTTCAAACTTTGAGATTCACTTGACGATTGTGCTTGATGATTAAGACGTGCTTGTGATTATCTCAAAAAGTATTCTAACTGCGTAAGTACAGTCTTCTTTTATCTCTGACTTTTAGTTATTTTTTTTTTCTCAAACTTTTGACCGTTTGCCAATATATCAGCTTTTTGTATTCTGTCTTTAAGTATTTTTATGCTCAAATTATCAAGCGTCATACGTTTGATGCAACTGTGCATCAGTCTCATTGTTTCGATTATATCTAATGAAAAATTTTTGCCTATATTCAGTATACTATACTGAATTCTATTTCACTTATATTGTAGTTTGACAATTTTCTCACTTTCAGTGTCCCTCTAGTAAAATCCTGTATATCAATTTATCGAGCATATATAATTCAAAGATATATTACATTATCGTTACTATGCTGTTGGATGATTTTTAAAAATTTTATGCTATTATAATTCTTCTCTGAAATGTAGGATCGAGAAGTCTTTTTATGGAGCGTTGGACATTTTATGCGAATATTCATGGGAACCTCTCAGCGGTAACTCATTGCTCACACGTTAAATCGTATAGAAGGGAGAACAGTGGGCGCCGACCTCGAGTTCAGCTACATGTCAACATCCTGGAACTATTATGCCCCTAACTTACTACAGTGTGTTGTACGAACTTTTGTATTTGAGACGTTAACGAATATTCCACGTTATTACGTCTTACGAAGGTCAGTCATTATGTTTCTTTTAAAAGAAGAGTGATAAGGGTGACTAGCGGCAGATATTGACAGATGTCAAATGAAGAAAAACGTATGGCTGGAAATAGTTACAGGTCGGTTTAGAGAGGGATTGTTTTATATGTGAAAAATTGTATTTGATTTAGAACTAACGTGGTACGATTATGAAGTATTCGTTACGTTTAGGAATGAAATAACTGATTTTTTAAAGAACTGTCTGATTGAAAGATATCATAATTGGTTTCAAAACGTGCAATTGAATTTTTTTATTTTAAAAAAAAAGCTAGTGTCAATTGGTTGCTCGGTAGATAAGTTGTAATTTTCTAGCATAGACAGGCAGTTTGATTTTGTTCAGAGGGCTACTGTCCTTCGTCGTCCCCCGTGTAGGTCCAGTATACTATATCCCCCAAAAAACACTTACGTGTAAAAAACTACGCCAAGTACAGGATTGCTGTGAATTCCTCTAACAAAAAGTATTGATATCAGATTATTGAGGCCAAGTACATAAGTCACTACATGTTTTCCTATTATATGATCTAGCACTGGCCCATCATTTTAATTATATTTTCAATATTTCCTATAACGTTTTCGCTACTTTTTTATGTTACTACTGCTTCCCGTATTTAATTACGATTTAATGGTGATTTAATAATTAATAAAACTTTAGGTGATTCCTTATCGAGTACTACTTGATGGGTCCGTGCCAGGAATTCGTGTAACTTTCTGTGAATTTATTTGTAAAATATTGACTTCCCTTTCAGAAATCGTTTTAATCCAGCAGATAATATTGCAGCTGCACGTTATGACGGCAACTCGGAACACGGTGTGAGTACGAAGTTTTTCCAAGGTTCATACAGCAATGGCTGCAAGACGGAAGAGCAAGTTTTCTCATTTTCCTCGTGTTCAGCTGCCTTGGATATATACGGCAGATATATCCGTGGTAGTATGGACGTAAATTACGTGACGATAGCTGGAGGGTAACCGGAAGGCTGGTTTGCGACATGTAAAACATAGAGGAGAGAAGAAGAAGCATTAGAAGCGGTTCGTTACGAATTTATAAATTAATAATTCATCCTTGTCGCGGGTAAAAGTTCCGGTTAAAGTTTCCACTCAACCAGGTGACAGTGTCGACACAAAAGGAAAACTCGACTTTTATGATATAAAAAAATAAACCTGCCTCTGTAACAAACGAGGGTGACTCTGTGATTCTTTGCTCTTATTGTTTTTCGTTCTTTTAGTGGCAGCTAGGATTGACAACGAGTCTTAATGGAATTCTAATACTTCAATCTTGTTTTATTTTATTCTCAACTGTATCCGTGCTTCAGGCTGTTGATACGTATGTATATGCTGCTTTAGGTAAGAGTTATTACTTTGACGTATAAAATAATTTGACGAATTGTCATAACATTAGGCTTTTATGTCAACAGGAAGGAAGGCAGGTCGTAATTCGTCGTGAACGTGACACGGGGTGGAGAACGAGACAGGAAATTTCCTGTTGTTTGATTTAAAGGAGAATTTATCTTAATAATAATATGTGAGCGGTAAAGGTTGGGCAACTGGCACGCATCCAATATTCTCGAGGACAAATAATCCCAGGTGTTTGCCAACAGCGGTTAATCTTCCGTAACGCTATCAAATACACCCGACAAATCCGCCTACGGTGCGACTAATTTCGCTCTAATCGACATGAAAGTACACTTGACTTCCGGTAATCGCAACAGCACGCCCAAGGTACTGTCACCAGACTTTTTATCGTATTTTATTTCGAAGAAAATCTCTAATCCATCCTTGCAACCAACGGCGGTGTAAAATTAATAGAACCTCTTTCCTTTTGGTTTCTACAAACAAATTTCTTCTATCCGAACCTTGCAGTAAGTCCAAAAAGGATATGAGTAGGGTAGTACTTTTCCTTGGTTTATCTCACTGCATATTCATCTCTTCCTTCGACAATGGTCATAGTATCCTTACTCAATTTATTTCTCAATCCACCGACGCTCAGCTTTTTTTCTTGTAGGAGATCGACCCTCGTGAAGAGCCTAGACCATTTTTTTTCCTGGAGCTCCTATCCATTCTGACCGGAAATGTTCGGCGCCGCACCGGAAGCATCCTAGAAAAATTACTCCAACACCCCCAGCACTCCGGAGGGACTTGAAACGAGCGGTGATTTCATTCTCCTGGACTGATTGACTGTTCGGAATGCCCTTTTTCTTCCTTTCTTTATTCTTTTTCTTTCGCCGGGAAACCGGATGCTGAACGGGTGGAAATAATAGCGACATTCAAAGTTTTCAGATATCGTTTTATTCCTCGAGAAGGGTTCAAGATACACGTGCATATGAACGAGTAAGAATGCCTGATGTGATTATTTCTTATCATTGTAGGTGACGTGGAGGTACGACTAATGTTTAATGAAAAATAGTCATGTTAAATAAATAGAGACAAGTATATATATATATCTGTACATATTTTGTAATCTTCTCTTAATCAATTTAAGTCGAGTTCCTTCGTTTTGATCACTGTCATTCTTGCTAAAAATTTTGACACATTTTTATGTAATTGACCTCAAATATTTTTCGTTACGGTTAAGTACCGCTTTTCGTGTTTCGAATTACTAGGAAACTTAACGCATCGCTTTTGTTTTAAATAACTTTCAAATTCGTTGTATCATTCGAAAATTATCAAACGTGACACTATTGCGATAATGTATGAAATATCGTTTTTTTTAATTTTACTTTTTTCTCAGTGCCTTGGATCTGTCATTACTCAAATGAAATAAGGCAGTGCAGATACTCCAATGAATAATTCGAGTTTCATAATTCAAGAATAACTTTACAGTTAATTATCTCATTGGACTACTCAATTGTGGGATTGACGGTGCTTCATTGAATTCGACAATGAAAAGAAAGGACGTCGACGTAAATATCACCAATAGAGAATTTCTGCATCTGACGACTTTAACAACGATTGATAATTACGAACAATCACTTAGTCGTCAGCTGTAAAATTTCTTCGCGCAAGTGTACATGGACATTTGGTCACCTACAAAAACATAATCTATCCTATAAAATATATTTTATATAATAATATATGTGTCAAACACCCTTATATTTCACAGTGGCATTATTGCAATATTTACATATATATGTTTATATATATATATATATATATATAATATAATATACGATATCATTATACCATCAGATATAATAATGCTTTAAATCTTTAAACCTTTCGTCAATATAATTTTTTTTTATTTATATCGTAATACGTTATTTAGACTTTTTATGCGGATATATTATCTGAATTATCGTTAAACGAATTTACAATAATTTTATATTTCTTTTATCTCACGCACATCATCAGTACACCAATAGACTCTTTCCTTCGAACCATATTCTATTCGCTCTTTCTCTTTAGAACTGGTCGACAGATTAATCATAGCTATCATTAATTAAGATAAACAAACGGATTCTCGAAAATCATCTCGCTTAATCGATCTTACCTAGACTAAAGTACATTAGATATATTTTCCGTCTTTCAATCTTATGATACATCTACACTTTGTCGACTCTTATTTGGCCAGTGAAGTATAAATTCTCATCGGTTGCTCTAATTCATAATATTAACAATTGATTCACAAGAGTAAGTACTTTATCGATTTACAACTGTGGCCATAGACTCTTTCGTATCGTCTCACTTTACCAATTTGTTTTCAGAAAAACGTCATCGCAGATGTCTCTACGTTCACGCGGGCATGAATCGACGTAAGTGATGAATTTTTGGCGGGAAAGTTTTGGAGAAATTCGAATGACGTAACATGCAGAAATAAAAGGGACGAACAAAGGAACTGAATGTTATTCATGAAATTGTGTTACTGAATAAAAAGCTTGTATTTTATTCTTGACTTTCTCGTATCCATTCTTTATGCCGTTGGTAGAATTGAAAAGCGGCGGATTCTGTCGCGGACGTCCTGGAGCATTGAACGTAACGGGAGAAACGGCGGTGGCCATTACAGAGAAACAGAACCGAAATCCATTGGGAATGGCCGACGTAGCGAAGAAAAGAAGTGCGAGAGGTAGAGGTGAAGGAGGACAGAGAGACTACAAGGAAAATCGAGAAATTGCGTTACTTTTGGACAAGCCAGGAAAGTAGCGTTGGCTTCCAGTGCCCGAGGCACCACGAAATTGAAATATCGATCCCACCTTTATAAACGTATCCGGGCGCGAAGGAATATGTAGGATTGTTCGAATTGCTTGAAGGAAATTTTTTTGGTACAAAAAAGTTTTATATTTATTTTTTATTCTTTTATATTGGATATATGTATATGACTAAACAGAATCATTGACACATGGAAATCTTGCTATTGCTTTAATGCTTTAACTCAAACGCTTAAATTAATTTTTGGGTGCGTTGTATTCGACTTTATTTTACATTTGTAAGTCTCGCTTTTGGGTCAGTTTATGAGATTTTTCTTTGCAAAAGTTTGTTTAGGTAAGGGTGGACTAACCTTTTTTCATTCCAAAATTATTTCATCATAATTTTATTATTTGCTGTGTATCAACAGGAAATCTTGTTAAGTAACGAGGAAAAATGTGACAAAATTACAGATTTTCATTTTTGAGTGTTTCACAAATAAATGATCGTACATAATGATCGGTGTCCGTTTACAATGTGATATGTGCTGCGCAGCCAATCCCGGCAACGAGTGACTAAAGGCCATTGCAAAATAGAAAAATTTATAACTCAAGTATAAAGAGTAAACTGTGACAATAAGCGAAAGAATGATAACTTTGAATTTCCCGCTTAAAATTCTTTAAAGAGTCCATCACAGTCATAGCGCGCTGCACTTTGATTCAAGGTACTTATCCGACAGCATTATTTGTACCAGTAAAAACATTTATTCACTAAATCCAAAAACTTTCTCTACTCTCCAATGGCCGTTTAAGCACTTTCGCTTATATTCGATTCCCGGCGTATACCCCATCAAACGCCAATCCTTATCATCCGCTTATCATATCTTCCCATGTACGCTTCACGGCGGACCAGACATTTTTGATTAATCGCATAGCTCCTGATCGCTCCCTCAATTACAGGACGGTGAATAATAATTTCCATAAGAATATCCATGAACGCGACGAACGTCGCTCATCGTCGAATACGAATGCTCATAATTGTTACACAGCCGCGAATATAACCTTAGTCGCACGTAACACTGTATACATATTATTTCGTCTGTTATCAATTTTCGTCTCATATCATTCTTCATATAAATTAACATACGTGTACAAAGGATCGGACGATTGATACTGACAATGCGAGAAGCGTTGACACGGAATCATCGCGTCTATAAACTCACGAGAATATTTTACCTACCGAGGGATGGTCACGTCATGCGAATATCCCCTGTCGTCAAGCTTATGGAAGCAGTCCTGACCCTGGCGGTCATCATCGTCCTCGTCGCTATAAAAAGTACGACGAGGGTCAACACAACGACAAAATTATTCGGGACGAAACGGGCGGATCCACCGCGAAGTAAGTCGCCAGCACTGAGACGTTGATTATTCACATGAGCCATGAGAACTCGCCGTTCTATTTCGTAACGGCGGCTTCCTACCTCCGTCACGCATCGTACACGTACTGCACCGTCGTTGTTTTGAAAATACCGCGGTTCCGCTTCCAGATGCAAACCCAAAATCTCCGGCATTTCCGGTCGCGATACGCTTCCTCGGAACGGTCCAACTTGTTCTGGATACTCTATTATTTTCTCACGTGACATCTGGAACGAAGAGAAAAAAATATTCATTTGTATTTGTCTTATCTTTCGTTGCGACTAAATCTTTTTACTTTGTCTCTTTGCTGTGCAGTTGCAATGTGACGCAGCCTTTTCGTTCTGTTTCTTTACCAACGCATTTACCACGGACTACGAGTTTATATCTGCGCGCGTGCACGCCACGACCTTCTGTGGCGCTGTCGGCACTCCCTTAAGGCTGAGGAGCAAAGTTTTCACTTTGTGACTTCTGCCAGATATATATATTTTCCTGTTTGCGCTTTCAAGAAGATAGCCACGAGAGTTGGCTTGAAATTACTACAAAGTATCGTCGTTCCTGTCCCATTCTTGGGACGATTTGGCATCGCGACACCCTCGTATCTTCGTCACGGTACAAAAGGGCTTCTTGTAACTTCAGGAAAAGCATGGATTAAAGGGTTATCTTTACTATTCTTCAGTCATCAGCGCTCGCGTCTTTTTAATCAGAAATTAATTGGAAAATCTCTGTTGTTCAGGTAAAGATACCGCAAAGTCATACCAAACAATAACCTCTTATTCGTACAGTAGAAAGTAATTCAATCAAAAAAGATAATATTTGAGTAAAATCTTTCGTCTTGAAATTTGCAGAATCTCTCCTGGGACGTCAGAGTAGAACCTGAGACTAGTGAGTATAGTGCAGTATGCAGCTGAGTAATATATATTTATTGAGTCAATTTCATTTTCAGATGCACTTTTGTTTATCCAGGCTGCAATTTAGTATCCCACCAGCGGGAAAATCGTTTGGTACGCCTTATTATTGATGCCGGAGGGAACATTTTTTGCCTTTACACAGGAAAAGTCGATAGGCCGAATGTATAAAGACGGTAAATACGGGGGTATAAGGTAGGCAAAGGTTACTTGGGGAAAGTTCTGCCGCCGGGAAATGGTATAGGATTGGTTCAATCCCAAAGGGGGTTACGAGATTTGCATCTTTTGAATATATCAATATAGGTATATATATATTGCGTGCGTGGCTTTACGTTTTAAGTCAAGGTCTCGCAAAGCGATGAGATTCGAGTCAGGTAGCTGGAACGGGTGTCGCTTAACTATATAAGTTACAAACTCTAAAGTATATGATACATATTAATATATTGTACAAACTATTAACTAACAAGTGTAAAGTATAGGCTTTGGTATGATCAGTGTAAACCATCGTTTAGTGTTATACGAAAAGCAATTTGATAAATGCCGAAATCCTACGATTTTATTAAACAAGTGACGTATGCATGTAGTCAAACCAATGTATAATACGGATGTAATGTTTATTATCAATTTAAAAAAAATTCCCAAATGAATATCGCAATTTATACTGATTCTGAACGTCAATCGAATGTCCCAACTATGTAAATCACACATTAGGATGCTCACTGCGCCAATGAGAATTAATTTCTGCACTGGAATTACACGATGACCAGAAAAAAAGGCAAAAAATGTAACACGATCCAGTAGACAAGAATTGAAAGGGTAGGATAACAAAAAAGAAATATAATCGTCGAAATTGATTTACCGAAATCGTTTACGGCTACGTAGTCGAGATTGCGAGGCTGATTGAATTTCTAGAATTGCTGGTAATCCGCGAATATCTTCTAGAGCGTATTTGAATTTTTCATATATTTTTTTTTACCATCATATGAATTACTGCTACTCACTGAATGTCAGATATTTTCAATTTTATTTCATAGTTATTTCACTTGTATCTGTGTTAATTTCTGTATGCAGGTGACGGTTCTTGCAAGTAGGGAAATGCAGATGATGCAATTCGCTTCGTGTTTATACTGCATGTGCATGATCTTTAGGTTGACATGCATATATGTATAACGTATTTGCACTTCATGTATTTCTGTCATAGAGCACGTTGCATAATTCACGAAGAGAATTTCACTATGACTATCAGTGACTATTTCACTGATCGATCAGAGTCATGCGAATGGGAAATTTTATTAATTGATATAAAGCGAAAGAACAAACTGGAGCAAAATAAAATAAAATAAAAAGAATTTAATTTCGCGATGGAGTTTCATGATCTTCCAATTTGTTATTTTTACAGCAGCCTTTGTATGCCAGAGATGAGTGCCTTCGTGTTTTTCATTTTAGCTTGAAAATATTTCAAAAGCATTAGGTCGATATTGCCTGTCTATCCGTAAAATATAAATTTTTACACTTTCAATCCAATAGAAACGTCTATTATGTAAAACAAAGTCTAACGGCGTATCGAGGGGCAACGGATTTAATTTTATACACATTTTTTTTTGTGTACGTCTATTTTTCAACGCTATTGTACACATTTTTTTTTCTGGCAAAAATCTCGTTTTACAATTTTTATAATAAAAAATTACAATAGATATCTACATCCATATAAGCCATCGGCGAAGTACTCTTTTTCGCGTACTGCTTTTTAAAAAATTGTTGATTCGTGTGAAATCCAACATGAATGCTATGACAGAGTGCACGTTATTATTGATACTTTTTATTATTCTCTTATTTCTTCTACGATAGAGAATGAATTTTTCACAATATTATTGATCCTCATGGAACAGACAATTGCCCAAAAATAGTATACCATCGAAAATCTCTGACTACTGCAAATATATCTACACACTGAAATCTCCATTATCCGCGGAGAGAACGTTTTATTTAAATCTTGTCAAATACAGAGCAGCGACGTGTCATCGCTGTGACAAAGTTTTAATTTTATTTTGTCACGCGGTCGTGACTGCGTCCACAGCGTCCTTATTATACGAATACACTAGTTGGTTTGGTTTCAAAAATTAAAAAGGAGAATAATAAAGAGAAGATGACCAAGAGGAGAGGAAAAAAATTGGGTCCTACCAGGTCCATTTCCGTAAGGCCCCCCATCATAGATCTATATCCATTGGGTGGTACAAGTCCTCCGTGGTCTGACTGGAGACCAGGGGTTAAATAAAAAAAAGTGATTTCAAACCAAAAGTCACGAGATCCAGGGTACAAGAAATCAGCAGCAAAAGGACACAGGAAGTCAAGCCGAGCAATAGAAAATATGCAAAAAGTCGTCCCTCCTCAATCCTCTCATCCCCGAGTCAGCTTCATTACACGAAGGACCGTGTTGGTTCCGCACCCTGAGAAGACTTGCAGATCCTCCTCAAGAGTTTCGACCCTGTGAGTGTGAGCTCAGCAGATAAGGTAGAAAGACAATCCTCGTCTTTCATGGTTAAATGACAGGGTGGAAAAGCACCAGCAATCATTCGGCATTTCCATATTTCGTGACGTCACTTCCTTACCCTAGTATGCATGAGAAAGGCTTCCAAGGCCCCAGTGGCCACGTTAAAATAATGTCTTCTAGCTACGCTCCTGAATATCAGAGCTAATGAATGTAATGAAAAAGGATAATTACAATTCAGTCATCTTTTGTTTAAGAAAAATCTTTGGAAATTCCAAAAATGTCGGCGTAGCTCCGTTTGGATTTTGTCCCTGAGCAAGGGACTGAGAGGTGTGAATTTTTGAAATTCCAGGAATACCTACTGGAAGGGACGTCGATATTTGTCCAGGAAATAGAATACCAGGATGAACGACTATGTATCCTCGTATCCGCCTACCAATGTCTACATTACATGATTAGAATCATACCGATAGGACAGTGCGACTGGCATAACACAGATACATTAGCACGCTGAGGTCAGGCTACTTTGACGGTGAAATTGCAATGCGAAATTGCGTCGTGCTTCGGCACACAGTTATATAATATACACAGTGTATTCAGATAGCAATTAAAACCTGACAGTCCATTCGAGTGGACTTTGTGCGTTAGAAGAATGACGGCAGTTCATTCCCGATTATTAATATAGCTCCAAGCGCCGGCTGGTGTTTTACTTTATTGTTATTTTTCATACTTTTTTTTTTCCTCGGAATATATACAGGATTCGTTAAACGTAGAACAGCTCGAATTTTTGTAAGGCAGATTTTATAATTTTGTTCTCTTTATCCACTACCGGTTCAGCTTCCGTATTTATTTCTCGCTTGGGCTCCCATTGCATCTTGTATTGTTATATGTCTTTGTTTATTTTAATTCGCTCGCAGCAAGCTTCCTTTAATTTTATTATTTAAGTGCATTACAACGATATCGAAGTCATTCTGAAACTCAATGATTTGAAAGTCTATGCTTGCTTTGACAGCTCACTGATCCGTTATACAGTTTGGTTTATATCGACTTCACGCTCGAACGGACCAGTCGAACTGTCGCCATTTGGTAAATACAGCTGTGAGTAGTAGGAGCCATGGTTCTACTTGCCTTTGGCTAGAAATCATTGACCGTGGATACTAGATTGGTTATTGCGTTGCCATTTGCCATTTACAATGTTACGTAATATAATTTTAATTGACCTTAAAACATTACGTCGTACGAAATATTATTGGCAAATATTTTAGTATTCGTTATAATTAAGCGCTCGTTAATTTATAAAGTTATTCAGAAAAATTCTTTAGAATATATATATATAACAATTGTAATTCTCAACCACCAATAAGTAGGGATCGACTAATTAACGTTGTTGGGAATTTAATTTGTTAAATTAGCCACTGGGCAAACCAAAGTGGTACAATTATCGATAACGATTGCTATATCTATAGCGTGGAGACTGAGCATTATATAATGTAACAGTACAGTAAGTCGTTTAAAGGACAGAAGCTAATTAGACTCAGAAATTAGTATTCTGTAGTTTCTCGTATACATTGGTACTTCGTTAACGAGCATTAGGTAATCAATCCTCAAATGTTTCACGGCCAACTTCCTCATCGAGCGACTAATTGAGTTAGGCCATTGACCATGCGAGTGATGCTGGTACCAATCGACCTTTTGACCTCCTCGTTGTATGTCTTCTGAGTAGTTGCATAAACTCTTGTGGATCTAATCATGCAATGGCGATTAGGTAATTGTATTTTGATATTCTTTTAATCATACGTAGACAGCTTGAGCGATAGGCAGAAGGAAGTTGTTTTTCTTTTGTTCATATTGAAATTACGTAATTTCAATGCCCTTTTATTCGGTTAATTTCGATATACTTTTTTTTTCTCTGAATTTTTCATTCATCCTTTTTATTTTCCTTGGCTCCCTTTTTCTGGCCATTTTTCATTCCTCGTACGCAGGGCCGTATTCCCGGAGGTATTTGCGGGGAGAGCGTGGCTTTTATCTGGAATTCTGGAACAGTCGGTGGAAGGTGTCTGACGAAATATTTATCGTCAGTCCAGGGGTGCTTTTTCCGGGCTCGAAACTTCTTGAAAATTCCAATGAGACGAAGGTCCTGACTTCTCGGGATTCTATCAGGAATCCGCATGCAGGTAGAGCAATTTTGTGTCCCTGCGGAGAAGGGTTTTATTGTGAGTAATATTGTTATTTTCCAATGTCTCTCTATGTCGCACGGTATGGCCTGCTAATTGATTTTAAACTCTGTAAGGTTATGCTGTATTGGGATCTCTAATATGTGTTAGGTTTAACTGAAAATCAGACCGATTCCCAAGGGTTTTAATTGGGGAGCATACACAGGGTTATAATCTGACCAAGAGAATTAGAAGCAGCGTGACATAATTATTAGCCAAAACCCAAACCCAAAGGGATGCTGTACCGAAATAGGGAATATTGTCGGCTAACATTGAGTGAATCTAACGGGGATTATAGGAGCACCACGTATTAATACTGCTTATCGACTTAATTGATAACAGGCGGTGTTCAAACGTGTTGAACCTATTAATATAGATATAGAATTATACCGTACCAGAAGCTATTAAATCCACCGTGCAATTCACAAGATAGCCCTATCATATCGTTTGTGCTTTGCAGTTACAGTGAATTGGCGGGAACTATAGTGAAGTTTGAAAAAAATTGAATTTTTTTAGAAAATATTAATAAAAAGAAAATTTATCCAATGATTTCATATTCGGCGGAATGAATTATATCGTTTCAAATATCCTTATCCGGACGACCCTCTACTTTTAGGATAAATCCAAGAATCCATGAGGATCTAAGAATTCATCCGAGTCAGACATAACGATAAAAACCCATAGAGGCATAAGTTTTGTCACCCTTCGACTTTTTCAGGATTCTTTCCTTCTCGCCCTTTTGTCGCTTACGTCGAAATTCCATACGTTACGTCTTGATGGGACGAAGGACACAGCGGATGCGTGGGTAAGGACAAGGGTGATTTGAAGGAATCCCCAGGATCTGATGAAGTCCTTAAGGATTTTCTTACAATTCCACGAGCATCCACTGTTGCCAACTGTTTACATTCAAGGCTAGACGTATTACTGAATCCATAGTTTGAGCTTTGAAGATCCGCAAAGACGTACTCAGCTTTTTATACCAATGTTGCTTTCCTCACAGTATATCTGCGTATCGTTGGATGAAAAAGTAATATTTTGGCCCTTGGATCAATTCGCAGAAGAAGATAATATTGTGATAATTTCTCTTCTGTCTGGGATCCTAGTTGCCCCTGGCAAACAGGGGATGCGTCTCTTCGATATACATCCGGAAAACGACTCCCCATGGCGCGGACGAAGGAACAATTTTCCTGGAGGGTATGTTCCTGAAGTCGTTGCTGCTCCGGGTGCTCCAAAATCCTCAAGTCATGGAATCATGATTTTCGCTCTGCTTCCCACACGAGAGGAGATGAACTCAAAGCTCTCCCGGGGCTTAGACTTGAGTGTCACTCTCAATTTTCTACGTCCTCCCTTCATTGTTTCAACCCCACGCTACTTTTCCAGCATTGAAACATTCCTGATGTCGTATTCTTAGGTCGCAGAGTTCTCCGATCTTACTTTATGGGATTCGTCAAAGTAATGGGGAAACAGCATTCTGATCCTTTTGCTTTTGTTGAATCTTAAATAAAGAAGTATCTTAGATGGATGAAACACGTATACAAATAGATTCAATAGATACAAATTAATCCAGTTTTATCGGTCGATTTTAAACCCAAACTCGTTCTTGAAGTTTCTAGTTGTTGAGTCTGACGAAAATTCTGCTTGTGCTTAAACGGCAAAACTGGTCCTTAATCACTCATCTGAAGTATGATTTCACAAAAATAAAGTACTATCTTTTTTGTGGTAAAACATAAAAAAAAAAGGAAAGCTTGTCACTAGTATAGGTAATTTAAGATTTAAGATTTAGAGATTTCCGATTTAGATGGCTCCTCCAATATGGACCACCGTCTTAAGGGGATCCTTTCAGAGGACTTCTATGGGTTCATCAGTATCCCAGCTATACATTGCAGAGCCTAAGAGCTGGGTCTAGGTCGGAATTAAGGTGCGTTCACAATGAACGACTTTATTTAGCAATCGACCGCATTCACGTATATACATTGAAAGATCTCATCTTCGACTAAAAAACAAATAATAACAGACTGATTCTTAATACGAATGAGTCTGTTATCATATATAATCGGCTTATACTATTTCAATAGTAATTTTTTTTTAAATCTTACCAGATCATCGTTGACGGTCCAGTAAATTTTTGCCTTGGGTACAGACGGCCAGGCCGTACAATTAGCCGTGACGTTTTCACCGACTGCATAGTGAGACGCCAACCCAGTTATTTCCGGTCCACGTTCCGGAACCGCTGAAATGCATATTTCAAATTAGCTCAAGAGATCCTCTCGTTTCCATTTAGAAGAATGAATTATTCATAAGCAATATATCGAAGTATCCAGGTAATTAATTACGCAATTAAATAATTATGAGCTTTCAGTATAGCTCTCTGTTATCGTGTCACATGGAAATTAGGAATATTAAAAAATAATTTATACCCCAATCACGTGACTTATCGGCTAATCAATAACAGTAGTAATATTATTCGTAATTATCACGTGAAAAAAATTTTTTTTTTTTATTTTTGGTAAACACGTAAAAGCCCACATACACACGGGTTGCGAATTGTCCTCCCGCGAAGAGCCGATGATTTCATGAATAATTGACAGGGCAATCGATTTGCCCATTAATCAGCCGAGTAACTAACTATACCCGATGTCCCTAATAGAGCTAATTGATACGTGGGATTATGAAAGACACTCGCGTCCGTTCCCACAGAGCGAATGCTCCAATTAAACATCTCCATGTAGCCGGCCCATGCTGTCCAGGCACTTCGTTTTCGGGATTCCGTTGAACTGGAACCATTAACGCCTCGTCACCTCTCATCCAGTTCAATTCCTCACACCCCTTAACCATAGCAACCCTCCGATATCTCGTGAACAACCCCCGACATTCCAACAACCCTCCTTTCCAGTGATTTACTCAACCGCAAAATGTTCGGAATCTGATTAAAATGGCTTTTACCAATGTCACAGTTAATCGCTGATAAATTCCAGACACTTCGCATGTATCACGAGTGTCAACCGCCGCGCGTAAGACAAACTGGAGCGAAGAGTAACGATATTCATTTAATTTTAAATAATTTCATTGTATTTACAATATTTATGTAAAATTTTTACTTTTTACCCAGATCTTTTTTTTTTCACCACTATACAGCCTGGGTGACCCACCCATTACTTTCATATCTAGAAACCTCGTATTTCGTGGTTGGAAGATCCTTTCGGCTTGATTCACCAATTATTCTTGGATAGTCATTCATCGGATGAGCATTCGAGTAGATATAGGGAATAATTATATATATATATATATATATAGTTATTCGACAATGGTTAGATAGAGCTTGGCATCTTCACGAGTGAATTGTTTTATATGGAATTATATACGCGGTGATGAACGACTGATAGGATTGCGCAATAGAAGTTTTTATTGAGGGTGTATAATAATTAATATTGAGAAAGAGCCGTTGCGTTATTCAAAATATGAGAAAAGGGATGCTGCTAGTTTTAAATAATCTTAAGGAATGTACGTGAAATATTTTGTTAATCCCCTCTTTGTTTTGGATTTTTTCTGCACACCACTTGACTCGAGTCTTTGAACGGTCCTAATGCATATTCATACCAGGTAATGAATATTTATCAACCCTCGATACAGTCCGCGTGTGGCTCGCAAAAGTTAATATGCATAAATGTACAATTTTTCAGAAATCTTCACTGAGTGTTCCTTTTTTTTAAAATTTTAATTTTTAAACTTAATTCTCAAAATTTTTTTATTCAACATACTTTTCGACCAAAGTGAAAATATTCGTATTCTCTTGCCGTTAGCTGTACTGCACTGCCTGGCTTCGAATACAGTTCCTGACATTTTTGCATAATGCACCGTGAAATATAACGAATACAAAAATCGATCCTTTCTGGATTGCATAAGGTACTTCCACTTCGCTCCAGGCAACTTCTTATGCAACTTTAAGATTTTACTGGACCAATACACACGTATACAGAGCCTCACACTTTAATTCAGATTTGTCAACCGCATTCGACATTTCTCCAGTATCTACGCTTATCCGGTGGACAAGTATTTTCAACGTATATTTACATGTCATATTTATCTGAAAATTGGATATCTAAGAAATTTCGTTTTTTTTTTTTTTTTTTTTTTTTTTTTTTTTTTTTTTTTTTTTTTTTTTTTTTTTTTTTTTTTTTTTTTAAATTTTACCTCATTTCAATTCCTTTTCATATCGATCTCTCTTATCGCTACTCTGAGCATTTTATCGGCGTTATTATTCATGATGAATACATATATTGCATATACTCGCGTAATGATGCTTGAAGATTTTCATCGTGTCTCCAAGCAACTAAGACGTGAGAGTATAATTGATCTCAAAGGCATAATTTCACGGAATGGAGCTAAGCATCCCTCCAACCTTCAATTTCCAGTTTCTACCCTCCTCAATATATACATAAGAGAGACTTCTCTGTAGATACTGTATTAATTATGCTATATATATATATATATGCGCGTGTGCATGAGATTAAATATGGCAAAACATTAATTAATTCCAAGACGTGAAATTAGGAAGTAACATGTAAGCATACGTGTACATAAGACGAATAAATATATGGAATTATTATGTAACGTTAATTAAATGTCTAGGTGGAAGAAAATGATAATTTCGTGAAAAAAAAATTTTTTTTTCTTATTATAAATTTTAGAAATTTCATTAATTTCCAATCAACCCTTACGTCAGTCACCGTCTAACGATTACAAGTGGTTTTCGTTAACGAGTATAAGTTCAAGGGTAGCTACCCAATTAAGGCACTCTAAGCGAATCCTAATCGGGTCCCTATACTTTTCTCGAATGATTATGTGTCCGAGTCGTCGTTTTTGCCAAAAAATTTATATTCTCGAATGACTAATTTTAGGTGCGTTTTTAAAATAATTTCTATTCCAGAGATGCATCTTTCCGGAAAATAAGGTCGCGGCAAAACGAGAACTCGGGAATGTAATGATTAGGGGAAAGTATAGGGTGTCATCCCCATGTCAAATCAGTATCTGAACAATATGTTATCCTGAAGTAGCCTCCTTGGATATATGTAATCAAAGTTTGTTATACGATCACGCTTGATACTATCATTATCAAGTAGTCAATGGAAGATAATTAGAAACCGTAATTACACAGCTATATATATATTTGATATTCTGAAAGTCGGGGGCTAGTATAATTTTGAAGGGTTGACATCTATCGGTAGACCAATTTATTGGTTGAATTAATATAATTTTTGTAAAAAAAATATCGAAAAAAGTCTGTATATATTTTCACGAAGAATCAGCTGTTTTTAACATACCAGGCCGACAGGTGCGATAAAAAAGTGAGTTTTCCAAAATTAATGAAATTTTAAATCGATCGGTTGGTTAACAATATTTTTTCAGTCCAGAAACGTTAGGCGCGTCCTTGGAAGAATGCGGAACTCGATAAAGCAGATAAATGAATTAGAAAAAAAAACTTATCCCTAGGCGAACGAAGGATAAAAAGTGATTTTGTATCACCGTGTACAAATGTCCCTATAGATATACATTTTCCAGTTGTATATACGCACCCATACGGGATTTACTATTTCGAACGATATTATAAATCCGCAGTTAGAGCTTCCCAGGGTAATGTACTCCCAGCAGTACAATGAGTTCGCCGAGCGAAGACGTTATCATAGAAATCGCTAAATTACGCAGCTTCTATCTCATTCCCTAGAATCCTCAAGGGATTCCGTGTCTTCGGCCATTTCCCGCCATACCCCGTGACATTTCCAAGCTAGCCATTATATTTATTCGTATCTCGCCACGAATGGGATATATAATTTTTGTTCTTTTTCTTTTAAATTCTATCTTTTCCGCCCTTCTCTATTGTCCAAGCTCACGGTGAATGAAATTGTACAGGCTATTGTAAGGGTTGAGTGAATGCTAATAAAACTAGGTTTTTTCTTAGTTTACGGTCAAGGATTATCCCGAGATCTTAGGATTGCAGAAAAAAAAAGAAAAATCACAAAAACTAGATCCAAGCTTCCTTAAACGTTTTTTAGCAGACGTTTTTTGCAAGCCTATCAGTGAAGCAAGTCGAATCTGGTGGTTATCCAGTGATGATTGACCAGTGCTGGATTCATGCCAAGTCCTTTGGCCATCGCCTGCCGAATATCGCCTTTCCTTAGGTATATATAGCAGCTTCCATCTTGGGTCCAGAGATGCTTACTAGTTTTCTTCTTTTATCCTTAAGAGGACTTCATCTTCCTTTTTATTCACGTCCTTCCAAGAACTGGGGAATCCTCACGTGTTTCTGGTCTGACAGACGTTCCTCTCCTGGGTAATAAGTTTCCTGGGATTGATTGATCTTCAGTTCTCATGAAACGTCTCAGACCGTTTAAATGGACACGTGAATCGAGCCTCTTCCTTGAAGTGTTGAGAAAATTTAAGATTATACGTTTAACTTTTCAAATAAAATTTTGGTCGTTGCAACTGTGTAAATAAATTTGAATTTTTGTTTTCATTCATAAATAAAATTTACCTTTGCTCCTGATGGTCAACGTGCCAATATCATTATTGAGGAATTTACAGATTAGTATTTTCTTTTTAATTGGTAAAATTAATGGTATTAAATGTACCACTGGTTTCAAGCTTTGAGATTCATCGACCCAGTAGGGATTTTCCACATTTTTAAATATTTTTTGCTACGTTATACTGATTTCACTCGTTTCATAATACTTGTTGGTGTCCGCATTTCATCGGTGTCGTTCATTAATTTTCTTTTTTCAGACTCCATTGTCTTCCTCTCTGTTATCACGTAGAAAATTTGCTTGCAAATCTTTCAGAGTGCACTGTAGGTAAGTTATCATTTCTGCTGAGCAAATATTACATTCCACGGAAGGGGAAATCTGGTCAGCGACGCGTTACTAATTGCTCATTAGTATCTTCCTGGACCACGCGGCTGTACAGAATTAATCTCATAGAATGATTAAGTAGACGAACGAAATAATTTCAAATTTGTCCAAATTTTGTAAATAATTTTTTTAATCTAGTAATATGTTTACGTATATATTCATACTCCGTTATAGTGTACTCTATATACATTTTTGCACGTAGAATATAATTCTCAATTAAGAATGAGAAAACCACTGGCGCGGTTACCAGTAGCTTTTGGATAGACTCCAAATTGTACAACCAAAATTTTCTATTATCACACTTTACCGAAGTTCATTTTGCATTGGAGTATAAATAATAATTTGAGTGCAGGATGTGACAAAGACACATTAGTATAGCGAGAGAAGACCAGAGTGCAAGTAAATGATGGGAGACTAAAAAGAGTCCCTTAAGAATTTTGCAATATCAAAAAATAATCCAAAGACTATATTTTAACGAAAATCGTCTTAAAATTGGCAAGTGGTTCTGAATCGTTAATAACCGAGCATTATTTTACGATAAGTAACGTCAATTAGGTTAGTCGAATATGAACCAAGCTGAAGGAGGAAAGAATTATCTACGGAATGGATAATTCTTTATCGAAGAGAAATCTCTCGATTGACGAAAGAAAAAATTTGATATTCCAAAACGTGAATAAAATAAACTAGTGAAATATATAAAGGAGGTTCTTGAAAATTTATATTAAATAAACGAAAACGTCCTCGGAGCTTCGACTTAGTAATTTCAAACTGAAATTTTTCTTTGTTACTTCCCAAAAAAAAAATATCACTCTCTCAAAGTTAACATCTGTCACAGAGTCGTTAGATATTCCGATCTAAAAATCATGCCGTGAATTCTCATACATTTCGCAGGGTGCGTGAGTGACAGATATGTCGTGTCAACGTCATCCAGGAATAAGCCTTACGTCAAGGTGAGCACCGTTCAAGAAAAGGAAAACTTCCCCACAAGTGTACGGAACTCATGCATAATCCAGTAGTCTATACTTTGTCAGTAAAGCCCTTCAGCTCGACAATCCACAGCCGAGATTACGTAGACATTTTTATTCGCCCTTTTTTTTCACTCCAGAAAGAATCGATACGTTCCCATACGCGTATGGTATTCCGTTACGTAGTATATCCCCATGATAAATACTTGAGCCACGTACACATGATACTGCATAATTTTATTGAAGCTCCATACGATCCTTAGAAACAAAGCCCAACCAATGTTGTCCCTTCTATATGTATTTCATTCCTTGAGAAGCAATCGGTCTTGTTCGTACCTTAAAAAAAAAAAAAAAAAATCAACAAAAACCAAGTACATTCCACCTATCGCAAAAAGCAGAAACGATTTCTTCTCTGAGAACACGGCATAAGGTTAGTATAGAAAACAGTACTGCCAATCCTAGGGAAAAAGTAAATGGGAATAAAATCTCCAGGGTGCAAGTCGCTCACTTTCTTCTTATCCCATCGTACTTATCTAGATAGTATATCGCAGCGAGAGAAAACACCATAGAGAGAGAGAGAGAGAGTCTACATAGCACAGTAAAGGGCACAGAGGGGGAGGGAGAGAGAGAATGAAGAGAAGAAAAATACCCCAGGAGAATCCCGATCATTCTAGAAGGGTAGTTTGCGCTTTGGGAACTTACCGATAACGGTCAGATTGGCTGTCCTGTAGGTGGTGTCGAATGAGGGTCCTTCAGTGGAGACTTCGCATTTGTACTGACCGGAAGTGTTGAGGGTGAGTTGCGTCAGGCGTATCGAGTTTTCGCTGTTCGCCTTCCTCTGTGGACACACATGAAATGTTTGCCTTGGATAATGGAGCATTTTTAGCAAGCTCTTTTGCCCTACCCTTCTACTACCCCCTTCGATATAAATGGCAGTGGCGACAGGGTTGCAAAGGAAGAAAAAAAAAACTTGAAAGAGACACGTCAAGCATACCTATGTATATACCGTCGATGTACCGCGTCACATAACCTCACTGGTTTGGCAGGAAGCATTATCGCTTTCTCTGGGTCAAAATTCCTAATGCCCAATTGACAGTCTTCTTTCGTCGTTACGCCGTTAGGAATTAGACTAGTTGAGCGGGTAAGAAACACGTATTCTGCACGATTGATAAATCTTCTGTATCACTACTGCTCTGTCGATTATCGATCATTTATGGCGTTTGCATTAGGTTTCATTAGATAGAGCCAAGGTTCGATTAGCTCTCAGTGGGATGCTATCTCGCCGTAACACCTTTAGCTAGGTTAGGTATTACCTAGAGGTAAATTGAATGAGCGTAGGTTTACTACGTATCTAATGGTCGATGGGTGAGACCGATGGTTAGCGAATTCGATTAATCCGACGAGAGAGTCGCTGGCACTGCTGACAATTAGTAACGGCTAACTTTTCTTATCGTTTCGAAGCTAACCTGTAACGTCCGCACTCCCGATATCTCTATGTTACAGGATTATTCAAATTGCGAAGCAACCGTTTGGATTTAATAGCAGTTATTGGGAAGGGTGATGGATGACCCGTATTCAGAGCCAACCGTATACGTCCGTCCTTCTCTTGTTCGCGTCAGTATCTATAAGTCTGTCTCTCTCGTACTCGTGGTAGTCATAGAGAATTGTAAAATTTCTCACATATTTGAATAGCTAATTCTATCCAATTGACTTTATGATTCTCGTCAAGTTTCATTAGCCTGGTTAAACTGTATGACTCTGTGTAAGCAGGAGTTTGCGTGTTACCTTTCGTTGTTACTCGAAGCTCACGTAAATCCCAAAGGTCCACCTTTCCTTTTTAACATCCGATTTAGTACGTTTCTATACAATGCGTAATAGTGTAATACCTCGTAGCAGTTGGATCAGCCATTTTCTACGTGCAAGAACTCTCGGAGGCTATGCACTTCGGTAGTTCGCTACGCGCTCGCTGACGCGTTTACGTCGTGTCATAAATGCGAATTGCCTCTGTTCTGTATTACCGGCAATTTCTACGTGTAGGTAATGCAGAGAAACGACGCGGCTCTCCGAGCTTTGACTTTAGGAGGAATTGTTGATCGAAGTGTTTATTTTTCGTGAGTGCACTTTTTTTAACTTGCTGTTTGGCAATTTAACGCAATTTTATGAAGAATTTCGTAATCATTTTCACATTGCAGTTATCAAATAAAAAATTAGTTATCAATTAATTATCAATATCGTGGTCTTACGTGGCTAAGCTTATTGCGAACGCGATCAATTGAAATTTCTTTACAGAAAGTATCGTGCAAATACCTTTTTGTATAGTGCTCGAATAGATTTACTATTTTTTGATAGAGATTATCGATTCAAACTTGATATGACGATGCTTGTTATTTTAAGTTTTTTCTTCTTCTTAATTATCGTTTAATTGACGTTACGCGAGACCTTGGGTAAAGGGATGTTAATTTTATGTAATTTTCAAGGGGAAAATTTCATTTGAATTTTCTCGCGTCTAAATTGCTAAAGTCTGTTGGGGATACGAAATGCAAATTTCGAAATGAATGCTGACAATCTTTGTATTTATTTGAAGAAAATAATCAGGAGACGGAGTGGAGAAAGCAGACGGAATAGAGGTGGAAAAATTTTGTGGAAAACAGACTAGAAGTTTTAGGGGACGAGGATAAATTTACGCGAAGCGTAAAATTAAATTACGGACCGTAGCTACAATAATTTGTCATTCCCGGCCTTTCCGCGAGAAATTACAAAATTTTGCTCATTTACTGTTCGCGATGAGCATTAGACGTGACAATTGTCAATCCTCATTTTCATAGGGCTTACATAGCGAATCCGAATGCGTAGAAAAGTGTGGTATTCCTTATTCTTCCTATTACAAGTGTATTGTTGTTCCCGCATACGTCAACGTAACATCAGTTTTCTGTGCGAAATTCGGCTATCATAGAAAGTACAGGGAATAACAAAATCCGCCTAACACTTAAATTTTCAGGCAGTGACTTCTGGCATAAATTTTCGGCGCGTAACGACGACACTTTCTTTCGAGATATTCATTAAAAATTATATTTCCGTATTATTTATAAATTATAAACTTAAGGAACACAGTATGAATTTATAATTAACCGAGTGAGGTGAAAATTCGTAAATACGTATTTTCTCTACCCATTTCTCATTATTACGTCCAATTTGCAGTCTCAAGAGACCAGATAATTTCGAGACGAAGAACTCTTGAGGTTTTTTTCAACGGACCAGCACAGCGAATTACGCCGCGTTGCAAATCATTATTTATCAGCTATTTAAATAACTTATTACATAGGTCTCGAAAGATAATTACAAAAACTTATGTAAATTACGATCAAGCGCATCTCATCATTAATTTATATTACGGTTTCATTAATCGTGGCGAAATTTTTTTTTTTAATATAAAGTTGATTTACGTCATTTTCCTGCCCCGTCTTTATTCACGAAATATTAATAAGGGCGTATACGACGTATTCAGCTGATGACAGTTCATTGTTCGCATTTCATATGTAATTACATAATTTCGTCGTATCGTGTATACAACGTGTGCTTTAATATTTGCATGAAATGGTATTTTTCTGAAGGCCTCGTTTTGCGAAAAAAAAATTAATAACGTGGCTTCTGTACGGTTGTTTCACAATGTTTGCCGCACCTTCATTAAGGTCGGTCCACATTAAACGAAACAGGCGGGACAGTCTGAAGATTATCGCACGTTATTTTAACTTCTTCGGGACGATGTTATTTTACGAAGTAATTAAAAAAATTTTTTTTCTCTTATCACCAACTAACTGATAATACGAAATGCTTCGCAGCGCGACAAGGTGACAGGATCTAAATAACATTGAAATGAATATCATGCGATAAAAGTAGCAGGGTTTTCTAAATCTTATTAAAAAATGGTAAGCAGAATGACTTTTGAAAAATTTGTCATTTTCGTAATCTTTACTTGAAAATGAAAGTAAACAAAAAATATATATATATATCAAACTTACATCCAGATAAACTCCCTGCTGCGGAAATGTCTGAATACGTGGCGTATTGTCAGGAACATATCTGAAGAATTCATGATCGTCCTTGTACCATTTAACGGAATAAAGAGTACCATTTATCGTCCATTCGCATTTGAGTTCAGCAGTGGCGCCCACTTCCGCTTCCTTGGGTACATTCACTTCGACCCTTATGCCTCCAGCTGGAACAAAGAAAGGAAATTCACCATTAAAATCAAGATGGCTGCCATAGGAATCTTTAAAATAGACAAAAAATTTGAAAATTTATAAAAAATTTGGACTTTCACAGCATACAGTTTATACCGTGAGTGAAGGATCCTGCCTAGGGGCCTCTTTTGCTTTAAAACTCATAATAAGATGGCCCCTCCGAAAGCTGATATGTACGCCTGGATAAACTATGAGAACAGAGTCGAAGAATAAAATTGTAATAAATAAAAAAAAATAAAATAAAATTTTAACTATATCATTTTTATCCAAAGCAAATGAAAAGGCAGTCGGTACGGTAACGCCCTATAGATTTTTACGAGACTGAAGGAAAACAGAAGCAATTTCATGGCTGAAGAGACGGCGGATGCCCGTAAAAAAGTTCGCGCACCTTTTTTGCCCCATCACAGGGATCTTATTCGTTTTGAGAATACCGGAAGTATTTAGACCAGCTTCCTACCTCCTCGTCTTACGTCCTCAGATCGTCTATTTGTATCAATGACTTTTATCAGAACGAACTTCCAAGAGCCTTAAGGTCATTAAATGTTCTTTAAATCTTGACTATCATGCTTTCGATATTTTCTCTTGCTTTTCTTTTACATTTTATTATCGTAATACTCCATTTGTATTTATTTCACGCGAATTCTTTACGATCTTTACGTAATCTCTTACGATAGCGTTTGCGAGAGACAATAACGATGCGTTTGTTCGATGACAACAATGGCCAACAGTGGTTTCGCAACAAACCACGGTACTACGATTACTTTGGTGAAAACTCGCCCAATAAAAATAATGAATGTCGGAGCTCCGATAATTTCAGGCGACATTCCGAGTAGCTAATCGCATTACAGAGGAACACGAAATGAGGGAGAAACGAATTGAATTTACCCCGTGACAGTAATCCTTAACGCAGAAGAATTTTGACCGTCACTTTATACTACGCGAGTCAAGGGTAATTTTATTCGGCAAGAAATCTTCGAAAGAACGAAAAGCATCGGAAACCAAAAACTTGACCGTCACTTTACACTACGCGAGTCAAAGGTAATTTTATTCGGCAAGAAATCTTCGAAAGAACGAAAAGCATCAGAAATAAAAAATTCGTCGTAACTTTACTCGGCCTTGAATTTCACTCTCGAGCGGCAAATTTGAAATTGTGATACGGAGTAATTTAAAAAAAAATTTCTTCACGGATATCCGTGGCGGGAAATTTTGAAAAATACCTCACACCACGCTTTCGCGTAACCACGTGTCTCTGTTATGAGGCGCGATGAAAAATGGTTTTTCTATAAAATTTCTTGTATGCGTTCTTCAGTTTGTTACCGTGTATCGTCACGATGTACCGGAAGTCACCATTAAGACAAAAGAGATGAAGAAGGACGACTTGTATTATTAAAATGTATGGGCTATGCGCCTTCGCTAACTTGCCATTGGTTTCGCTTCGCACTTTTCCCGACAGGGGTTGCCTACCCTTGGATGAGGGTTTACACGGCACCATGTCATTTAGATAGATGGGCAAAAGTTTTAGCCGACATTCAACCGAACACATCTTCTTCCGGTTTCAATTCCATTTGCCTCTAATAGAATTTCCTTATATACAAAGTAGACAGGAGGGAACGACAATGAAAATATGCCATAATATCACCGTTCTTCACAGCTGTTGTTACTTCAGTTACATCTCGATCACTTTTACTCCCATCCATAACAGCCACGTTTAATAACTACAGACTCCCGTTAATAGAAAATTTCGAAAGAGGCCGATCAATTATCCGGCATTCGTTTGAAAACACCAATTCACATTGGTCATAAAATCCTATAAGCACTAGGTTATTACAATTCGGTACGTACTATTGATATAGTTCATTGATAATTTAATTTATTTCATTTTACGAAGCGATCTGGTTATTAAATATTTATACACTGACATTCTGGCGTGTCTCTCATGCAGGATAAAACGAATCAATTAAATTTTCATAAAATAAAAAATTCATTGGAATTCATAATTTTGCAAAATAACCAATTACGAGCGTGGTTCGAGTATTGTTATCAACGAAAACTTTTGAAATTTTTCATCTGATTCATACGTTTTCGATTTTAAAACGGACACTTTTTTTTTTTGTTATAGCTATCACTTAACACATTCCCATATGCTCCATATACACTGTCGGAAATAAGTATCATAAAAATGACCAATTCGTGATCGACGTCCAATTCTTTTTCACTTTAAATACGACCATTGTACAGTTTTAATGGCCGACAGGCAAAATTGAATAGTGCGGTTGGTTAACGTATCCTAGGGACATTTTCGTTGTTTCGAATGGTGGAACTTCACCTAGTAATTTATTGAACGTTAATAATCCACCCGGTATTAGCAGGCAACGTATACGAGTTATATGGTGCGTAGAGTGTAGCTCTTCACTCTAGATTTTAACATAGGGATTAGTCGGACTACAGTCATCCAGTAATTGACTTCGGTAATTTCCGGAAATACTCGTATCGGTTCGTCACAGCCACGCAACTATACGTATTCTTGGGGATTAAAGCGTCACAGCTGATAATTCGATAATTTAACTCGAAAATATATTTCGTAATTACCAAATCCGAATACACGTGTTGACGTATTACGCAATTACGTAGATTATCCGATTAAACAGTTTGCCAACCGACTGGACCGATTTTATTCGTTCGAATTTAGATACGTCTACCTGTATCAGGGGCGTATACCGAGAGGGAGGGGGCCCCCTTTCCGAAACCACGTGTCCCATTTATTTAAAAGTCTCGAAACGTTCGAGCAGCTTCGACCGTAAAAATTTTTCTTTCCGAATGGACTGCTGAAAAATATTCATTTTATCGAATCCCCTGCGAATCTTCCTCATTGTTGAACTAGTCGGTAAACTTTCTATCGGGCAAGTTTCGAGGAAAGAAGTTTTCGCGCTGCCGAAAGGCAAGCCGGAAAAATTTTTCATCGATAAATTCGATAGAAACCTTCATACATATTTATGTCGTTTGCCATCGTATAATCATAATGATACTCGCTGCTCGTTAATCGACCAATCGCCATGTTGTTACGCGTGCATGTAAACAACGAATTCTCGAGAAATTTACTATTTGTTTAACAGTCACGCGCTACGAGAATTTTCAAACAAACATGGGGCCTTTTGAAGTCTAGTTAACTCGTGCATATAAATGATATACGAGCAAATGAAAATGCAGCTTGTATATTCGAATGCATCACACATCTATATTCTACTTTGTGCAGCGTATACGATCAATCGGTAAATTTTACCATTGCTGGTAAATACACTCTGGCTTCTATAATAATTATCACTAAATAGTTTTCAAATATATTTTATTGTACGATAAAATTGGCTTTATTACGTTTACTGTTAATTAAAAAAAAAAACCGCAATATAGGAATAAATAATTTCGTCACAAAATAATCACCACCCATTTCTTCCACGTGCCAATCCTAATTGGACGAAATATACTAATGGCTGGTAGGCATGTAAATACGTAAATGTAAAACCATGAAGCCACAAATGGTCTACAGGGAATGCATCGGCTCGGAGCTTTCATTTTTCCCAGACCCATCGACCTGGTAGTGCGAGACCTTTCCCTTGCTAGCGGGTCCTCTCTCTTTTTCTTTTACTCTGTTACCTATTTTCGTGATATCACTTTGGTATCACAGTCAAGTCCGCAGTAGATACACGAAAACGGCTGGAGCGGTGGCCTAACGTCGTGGGTTGGCGCCGGTATCCCTTACTGCGCTCCCTAGAGATCCAGTCACGTCCGTCTGCGTTCCCTTGTGCTACTCCACTTGGCGCAAGGGTCCACTTGGTCATCCGGTAACCTGTAATCATCTCTGTTGGGAACACTTTGCGCGCTGATCGACGGGTAACGGGATTTGGTACCGGTGACGAAGGTGGTGCGTCACCTATGACCTGACCCAAGTTTTAACAAGTGGGTGGGAAGGGATGGAGACTGTAAGCGTAATTTTGGATCTCTTGAGGATCTTCCGACTTCAGTCGGCAGCTGCCTGTCGCGGTCGACTCGGTTAGAGATGATTGGCAACTTGGTCCGGACCTGTAAAAATATTTTCTAGTAACTTGTAATAGTTGTCCAGCTGTATCTTTATCCTTATCTCTCACTGGGGATATATGTATAATGGCGGTGATCGCGTCGATAAAATATTTAAATTTGACAAAAAAAATAAAGTATGAAAGAAAAAAGCTGCAAATATAAACCCGATTAATCTATTGGGATTGAAGGAAAGACCTGAGGTGTAATCTCTAGGAGATACGCAAATTTGAATTTTCCTGTACGGTATGAAAATTTCATATTTATCAAATGGTTTGTATTTCGGTCGACTGTGAGTCCGAAACTAGTCACTTCACATAGACAGGAAAAACTAATATCGAAACCGTCAGGACATCGATGACGGGCAGTGTACTCGGGTCCTTGAAGCTTTTATTGGCAGAAAAATTGGACGTCGCAATAAAAAGATCATTCGAACATTAATCCCAAAAGTTTTCTGTCAGAGAAAAACAGCGACCAGTGGACCGGGGAAAAGGATTTTCTTAGTTTGTTCTATCGCGTGAAAAAGCTGTGAGCATTGATAAAATGACTATGGATACAGTCCGATTCGCGTGTAAATATGTTTATTTTTGTAATATTATAAAAAAATGTTTATGTAATACTTACTATGCAAGGCAATAATAGCAGCGCTTGTATTATAATTCAAGTATTGTTTTATCCTATTAGTAGTAGCAGCCGTATTACCTGTACTGCTGAGCTACTGGTGCAGCCAGTGCACAGTGTTTCGATTCCTCTCACAGTTCCCATTGAGTTCCCGTAATGAAGCACGCTTCCGTAGAGTATCCCTGTGCAGGCACTATGGGAATTCCAAGCGGCAAGGGTAGGAAGATTGATAATACAATTGTATCTCGAAGCTCGTGTATTTCCGTGAGTGCTCGTGTGCTCC